TTGGTTCTAAGCATCTAGTCAGCCAGTGGGCAAGTTTATGAAAGGGTGATTTGGCCATAGATAATATTGGTCTTATAGGGATGCCATACTTATATGGGCTACCCAAAACACATAAACCTGCTTCTTATACTTGCGCTCCAAAGGAGATGAAGTCACCGGAATAATCAATCACAGAATAAATTCCGCGCTGAAAGTGACTTTCCCAGCAGCCAAACCGACAACGTTATGGGAAACGAACTGCTAGCTCAAAAAAAAACTAAAATCGACAAGTCATCTTTTCTCAGTAGCTCCAACTGCATTTACCAATTCATATGTATGTGTTACGGCACATACATTGAAAGAAATGAGAGAAGAGTACATGTTCATATTTCTGAGCATTGTTCCAAAAAACTTGAGGCTTCGAGGGACTAGGGATCTCAACAATGCAATAGCTCAGCATTTACTTGACATCGGGCATACCATCGACATTTCGCACGCTCTTAAAATTATCAGCAAACAAAGAAATATGACTGCTCTCCGTTTTGCTGAAGCGATCGCGATAAAAAAACTTAATCCGGATTTATGTATTCAAAAAGAGACATTAGTAAACTTATTATTACCCTGGTAATCCATTTTTATTTTATTTTTATTGTTTTTGGTTATTTATGTTAGTTTATTCATTTATTTATTTTTAAAATATTTATTTTGTGTTATATCCCTCCCCCATTACCGAATTCTTAAACCAACTTTTCATTCACACATTTCCGCCCACTTACACTCTTAAATTATGTTAACTTTTCAAACTCTATTCAATTATTACGTAACCTATCTTATCACTGTTTAATTCCATGAATCCTTCACTACCTCTAAAATTATTACACAATTTACGAACTCCACTCAACTACTACACCACCCATCCTGAATTGTTTCCTTAATTCTAACACCAATTAACTTCTGACCTGTTCTTATATATAATAATAATAATAATAATAATAATTATTATTATTATTATTATTATTATTATTATTATTATTATTGTAGATCTTTGTCATTCCAACCATTTACATTCATTTATGTCAATTGTTTCACACTATTTCTTATCTCAATGTAAAATTATATTACATATTTGGTTGTAAGCAGCTGACGAGAAACCTCGAAATATTACGAATTCATACCATTCTACATCAATATTTGTTCTTGCTTTATGTAAGTTCATAAAGGGAACTAATTGCAAGAAGCGGATTGCTTTCTTCTATTTGTGGGCTAAATTGGTTAACTTGCCTTGCGAAACAACATTTGAGGTCATAAAACTTCGGTGTTTGGGCAGAATATTTTCAATGTATGAATACGACGTTAGATTATCGGTTGAACGAAGATCTCTAGATACTGATGTTCATTTATATTAACTTTGATATATTAGGATCTTAAAAGGATCTTCATATAAAATCATGCAACAAGGAGATGTAGACAAATCAGTGTTGTAGGTCCTTTACCCTCAAGTCAATTTAAAAAAACTAGCTATGAGTGTTCCTTTGGAATCATTTCGATGCGGCAACGTCGATAAAACAGTGAAACCTTTGACTTGTCTAACATTTTCTCCTATTTAAAGTGAAATCCTCTTTCCGTCTCATCCACAGACTGCAGCTGCACCGTGTACATCAAATTTAAAATGCTCTTTTGTCATTGTTTGGTTGCTCAATGGAAATGGCTTTTTGATTTTTTTTTCTTCTGAGATTGAATATTCGTCACATGAGACGAATTCTAAGGTTATAGAGACCGTGATGCCTGTATGGTGTAACTGAGATTCAGTGGTTCTTACTAATTGTTTCCTATTCATGTCTTATGAGGGCTGATCAGATGAATACTCTGTAAGCCCGACTATATATTGAAATGCCATGTTTAAAAATTCTAGAGTTGAGGTTCGAATAGTTTTCTAGAAATACATGCTGTAGTGCTTCGACTGAATGTAAAAACGCGCGAACTTCGATACTCTTAATTAGCTTTTATATATCATTACTTGTAATCATGACACTTTCGTATGGATCGAAATATTTATCATATGGTGCATTCCTATGGTCTGTCACTGAATCTGACTTGATAATTTATCAATTTTAAAATTTCGATTCATTTATAATCACTTAAAGAAGTTTTATATGTGACTACATCGATCGAATCCATTATGGCTTCTACTTACCCAAAACAGTGGATGTTTTAATTTCGTAGTCGTTTTTGTTGCGTAGGATTTCACGATTTTATGAATGAATTTTTAATTGTTAAAATAAAATAAGAGAATACTAATCGAAAGTTAATATCCAGTGGTATGTTTTGTTCGGTTGATCACGAGACGAAGTCGTCATTATAAGCCCCATAATAAACTGGTATCAGAAAACAAGATTGCTACCAAGAAGAATACGTTTTTTCTAAGAAAATGATGTGACACAGAAAGCCAATCAGAAGTAAAAAAATATCAATCGATGACAATCCGATGTGACCCAAAGGTCAAGTGCATTTCATTGGATCAACTTCCTAGGCATGGAGTGGTATATGTATGAATGAGTATTTATGCATTTTATCCGGTAGTCCAAAACACTTTCTCGCTTAAGTAATCAGTTCGAGGGGAGGGGTTGTTGCATAGCATACAGTGTGTCAGTATCAGATTTCAGACACCGCAAATCACAACATTATTGACGTAAAGTAAACATGATATTTTACTGTTGACGATAAGAGAAAACCAGTTTTGTAGGTCACTCACTCTGCAATCAGTTAAGACCTAGTTGTTAGACCCAGTTTATGGGCATCAAGTCAGTTCTGTTTATATGTATTTTCTTTCAGCTTAATAAAATATATTTATCATAGAAAAAGAGATAAAATATATTACGACGCCCATAATTGCTTTAGCTGACAAATAACAACAGCTATGATAAACTGATGCAAGCATATGACGTTCAGATATACGAATGAAGTATACCACGTAAAATAAATGTATACTACACATGTGGATTAATTAACAAGGGTTAATCAATTAAACTATCATGGTAATTGTTTTTGCATTAAATCTTTTTACTTTAAAAAACAAACTATATCGTATCAAAGCGATATTTCAGGCGAGAAAATAAAATTTTGGAATCAAACAAAATATTGTAGTGAGTGTTAGTGATTGAAAATGTTTGAATCATATTTTTGTCGCTATCACAGATCTTCCAGCTTTTTTATGTTATACAGAGATGATTGAACCTTTATTTGATATTCCTTTAATTAATATTAGTAAGTAAACAGGTTATCAATCAGTCCTTTACTTTTTGTGTGAGACTACGGTGAGCCTTTTAGACTTTATTTATAGTCTGCAGTTGGCTTGTGAAACGGAATCTTTAATATGGGAGTTCAATATAGTAACGTAAAAGAAACTTTATTCCCGTAAATCTTACTCTATCACAGCTTTCCCTCCTTATGATACTTGGGCTGCGTAAACGTTCACACTGACGTTTTCTGAAACCTGAAATTATGAATCTGAATCTTTAACTCTGAAATAATTTTACCTATTTTGTTAGCACATTTTCCATACACCATCAAAAGTCATTTCAGATGTATGGAAATAAAAATGTATACTACAGTCTGTTTAACTTGACTGGACCAAAAATACTGAACAAATATATGCTTTGTCTTGTCTGCAAATTGTCTCATGAGTTAATCCTAAATATTTCATGTGCTAAGCTCATCTTTATTAGATCGGGAAAATAAGTTTACTATGTTCATTGGCTACATAGCTTTGAAATCAAAGTTAATCGATCTTTAAAAAAAGATTCATGTTTAGTATCAATATATAATTCCCAATATTTATGTATTTATATTACTTCACTTACTATTGTCTGACCGTTTATGTCTAACCATTTTGATCATTTTTATTGAATTTTGCTGAACCAGTAACTGCTTTAAGTCTTCGGTTTTCATGTTCGAAACTTCGTGGAAAAATTAAAAATGCATCGTTTTTACCTAAAATTTCAAGTAAAACTGCATGCTTTGAAATTACATCCCGCTTCACGTCGATGAAGATTAAAAATACAAATGATTTCGTTGACAATACTTCAAGGTTAGAGTCCTATACTTGTAGTCAAAATCTGATTGAAACGGGACTATTTTTGCACGTATGTCAGTCGCCTCATGCAACACCAAAAATATTGTAAATAGTCTAAATATAGTGTGAGAAATAATATCAGCCTAATTTTAAGTTGATCATAGATAAAACTTGATCTGGTTCAAAGTATGATCAGTTGACCATGTATAAAAGTACTCCATTAATCATGCAGGGCGGCCTGCTTGAGCATCTGGGCTACCTGTTCCTGCCATCTAGATATTTCAACAATCACATAACCTATTCTGCTGCGTTTCTGAAAAGTGTACAACCTTTCGTTGTCAAAGTTACAGAAAACTCAATAAGAGACAATATAGTTGTTGGCAATGTACAACAAAAAGAATGTACATTATTCAGTTGTTCATTCACTGAAGTGCTAACATCTAACTGGCGATTCCTCAATATTTATCGCCAGGACCGACCAAGAAGAAAGAAACGGAAACTTGTTGATATACATTGCGCTGAGAATTATATATTGTACCAAAATTATAATATTGAATAAAGCTAATAATAATAATAATCAGTAAAAGATAAATTAACAACGATTTCTTCGAAATCGTGTGAAGTTAAAAATAACTGGTTATTTTATGGTGAAACTTGACAAGCTATGAGAAGTGATAACACTACCTGAGCTTTATTCTGTTAAATTTTTTAAATATCGTTCAAGCCCAAGTCGAGTCTTGTGGAAAATCCAACTGACTTGAAACAATTATGTGGGATTCAACCATGGTATACATTTAATCTACCTTCTGAGTTTTATAAGATACATTATACTCATAACTCACCGTTTGTGGTTATGATATGTGATATAATAATTAGCCCATGTAAATACAACTATCTTTAATCTATAGAGTTAGGTTTTGTTACTTTGACAATAAAAACTTTTTTCTAGTTTGCAGCTCTTTGCAGGATACAAGAAAATCTACCACAATAAACAAAACTGAGGAGTTGAGTGATGGTGTGGTGAGTTTATCTGTCAGTCTATAAACTTTTAATCATAGTGTTTTTTTCATTAATTGATTGATGTCAGTAAGACAGTCTTTAAGTGCGAGTCAAACAAAAATGACTTTCATGGGATGAGTGCACATTTATAGCTATGATTTTGTGTATAAAAACCACTCTTCAGTTATACTGGACTAGTACACCTAATAAAAGGTGTTACGCTACCTGTGCGTTATAGGTGGGTATGGGATTAAGTAAACAACAATCCTGTAATTTTAATAATGGGATTTATGAGTCGATCTAAGCTAGACCACTACTGGAAACCCGGAAGCACTGGACGACCGTCTAGTACTAGTATGGGACTCACTGGAAGTGCGCATCCACGATCTCCTGCACACGGGAACCGAACACAGGACCTTCAGTCTCGCACTCGAACGTCTAACCTCGAGACCACTGAGTCGGCATCCAACTGTATCAATGTCACTAATGACTGGCCTAAAGATGAATTTCCTGGAGTTCTAGTGAGAAGTCGAATCCGTGTCGCGTGGAGACAGTTATCAACTTCAGATAATGGACGAAGGGTCGACTTCAACTAGACATTAATAATGAAACAGCCTTCCAGATTTTCAATGGTGGTTTAGCTTGGATGGACTCATGAATTCAACTATTAAAATTACTTCAATCCCCACAAATTCCTATTCTAACAATCCTGTAATTGTTGATTAACACCAAGTTACTATAATATATTTCTATCATTACCTTTAAGGTCTTGACAATGTGCGATATTTTAGTACTTGATTGCATGTGAAAGCAATGATTGTTTGTTTAATGCTGAGCTAGTTTAATTGAATGGAAGGATAACTGTTACGTTTATCAGAGAGTAAATATAGATTGATCTACTTTAGTTAGAAAAACACTCCTGAGATCCAAATATTTCTGTTTAGAAGTTTTATATATAAATAATAAGAAATGTTTCTGATGTATTTCTGCTATTTTCCTACGACAGATATTTGTCGTAAAATGTGTTTTGGTTGCGATCATCGATAAACAATGAGTCTGTAAGTCGTCCATAGTTTAATAAAAACTAAGCATTTGGAACCAAAACAGTCTTAAAAATGCCCATCGAGAGGAAATGAATTATTTGGACGGTTGTTTATGATCTCTAAGTCATATACAAAGAATTTTGATCTCGTTTTCGTTCTGAATTTCAGCTCCAACTAAGCATAAATAGAGTAAAGAAAAAGATTTTAGCATAGTAGTTTGTGGTCACAGATATAACAGTAAATGATATTTAGTCTTCTCTGTAATTTCTCGGATGTTGTATCTTTTACTCGGAGAGATGAATAAATAAATTTAACAGTTCGACAGAAAAAAATATTTTTGCAGTTAATATATTGTTCTTAGTGTTTATGTTCCTTTGTTTTTTTCTTCAGGCCAGTTTTTTGGGAAGCCCAATCATTGATCAGTCATTAGTTGATCTTGCATTGAAAATTCCGAAATGTTTATCTGTTTCCCGGGTTCTTGTTTTATACACCGGTGGTACTATTGGAATGAAATGTGTAAATGGTTCTTATTGTTCTGTGGAAAACTTTTTTCTTTCCACGCTATACAAGATGCCTACATTTTGTGATTCGGAGTAAGACAGTTTCTTTTTTTAGGAAAGCAAAACTGGTTTGATTTCACGTTATGAAGGATAATTAAATTGTAAAGCTTTGTGGTCAATTTTTGTTTTGATTTAAGACTAGTTAGTCGTACATACAGCTGATCTAGCTCAAAATCAAATTAATGGAATTTTTGTTTCAATGTTATGATTGTGTAATGATTTTGATAAAGTTACATTCTATGTTTTGCGGTTATTTCTGATGTCTCTCCATTTGTGTACATGAAAGCCAACAATCTTTGTACATAATATCATACAAATGCCATACAGTTCATTTTGAACTAAAATCCCAAGAATGTCATTATTTGAAAGGTGGTTAATATATGTTCGAAATAGTTCAATCAACCAACTTGTTGAGTTATATTTTGAATACAAAACGTTTTCCACAAACTAGGAACATTGGTAACGAAGCTGTTTATGTCCATCATTATGCAGTTAATTGTTTCTATGTGTAAGGGAAACTAAATATTTTTGCTTACTGAACAATAATATGGAAATATCTGAAGATAATTACTTAATAAACTGTTATTATGCACCCTGATGTTTAGAGCAATAGTTATGAAGCTTAAGACTTACCTTGACCAGCTTGCCGGTGTATTGTTCTAACGATTGAAACCAAGGCAAATAATAAAAATCACGCTTTATGTTGTCGTACAACGATTGACATCACGATCGTTACATTAAGTAGCTACTTTAAGGTGGGTTGTGATTTTTGGTGACTAGAAATTGAATGACGATAAGTTGTGACTAAATGTAGTATGAACAGTTTATCATAAAGTGTTTCCAGCACTTTTACCAGAGTAAGACATTTGGTTGTAACTTAGATTCTAACCCGAGCTTACCCGCTTTTTTAACACAAGTGTATTTAATTTTACATTGATATTTATCATTCGATCATAAGTGTTACTCTTTTTGAAAATGTAAATGCGTTATTGTACTTGAATTTAAATTCCATTAGTACACAAACCAAGACACCTGAATTATTTGACTGAAATGTTTATTGTTGAAAATGTTTTTTTAACATCTTTAATCGTTTGCACATAAATTGTGTTATATTATGAATTTTACGTTGTCACATAATGTCTTATTATTCTCAATATTGTTATTATTATTATTTTGCTGCTTAGATTTCAGGTTCATATAAACCAATTTAACATTGAACACCTACATCACAGACTATCAAAAACTAACGTTTCACCTCATACACGTAATACTCATTCAAAATTTTCAAAACGTGAATCAAGTTTAACTGAATCAGACCATATACAAACTTATGCTTTACCTATTGATAAAACTGGACATCGTATTTTATATACAATTGTAGAATATTGGCCATTATTAGATTCATCTGATTTGAGTATGAATGAATGGAAGCGTATAGCACAAGATATTTACGCATTTTATAATGAATTCGATGGATTTGTTGTATTACATGGGACGGATACACTTGCTTATACAGCATCAGCTTTATCATTTATGTTAGAGAATTTAGATAAACCAGTTGTTTTAACTGGAGCACAATTACCGGTATTCGAATTTCGTAGTGATGGATGGAATAATTTTCTTGGTGCATTAATGATCGCTGGTGGAAATTATGCAATTTGTGAAGTCACAGTGTTATTTCATGATAAAGTAGGTTTCATTTTTCATAAAATGATAAACATTAAAAAATTACAATCTAGGTATTCTAGTGGTTTATATTAGGATTATTGACCAATCAATGTGAAACCACCATTGAAAATCTGAAAGCACTGGATGGTCGTTTCGTCCTAGTGTGGGACTCATCAGAAGTTGTGTCCATAAAAACAAGGAAATAGGAAGGTATCATTCTTTATGGAGTCATCAGACGATTTGACTGAATCCTATAATTTATACACATATTTATTTGCATTAAGGAAACAGATGTAAACCTGACGTCCGTGGTCGGTGTTGTTATTATATATATTTTTATATATTTTAACACATAGATATTGGTACAAGGAGGCACCAAATACATATGCGCCACACAAATCTCATTCGATATGTGTGAGGGCTGTGATACTGCCCAGGTGCCCAAACCGAAGGGGGCCACTCCTCGAGCCGTCGACCTGAGGGTCTGATCCGCAAGATAGTGGAGCATCGTAAGGAGATGCAGTCCCATGGAGGCCGGTGATCAACGATTGGTTCATACGCCATTCGTTCCCGCAGGATACTGGAGCCCATGTGCACCATTGGTTTTGAATCCGGTTAAAGCGCCGAACATTCGCTTTTTGTCCTCTCAATTTCGTAAACAACACCCCCGTCACGAGAAGGCAGTGAGTAGAACTTTCCTGACAGAGGCTATATAAGCGTGTCCATGTGAGAGCATTTCGAGAGGGAGAGCGGACTATCCCCACTCTCGGCCATACCAGGGCATTTGGGGGCAACTTTTAGGTTATTTATCTATTGTGTCACGATTAACAGTTATCACAATAATTATCATGTGATGTTAATTATGGATTGATGTATTTAGCTACTGTAATGTAATTTCAAAGATTATCTACTTAATTACAAGAACCAAGGTAATCAAAACATTATTACTGTTATTATCAACAACACAACCATTTTTTTTTTTGAAAAATCACTCGTTGCTTAATGGGATGGTGGCCAGCAGTGGAACTAAAAACACGTGTTTCCTCCTATTGCAGTCCAAAACATCAATCTGAAGATTAAAAAAAAACAATACATATGAATTAAAATTCAACACATTGCACTAACTAGTTGCTATTTGGACTCAATGGCTAAATGGGCAACGCGACAATGTTTGAAGCAAATAGTACTAAGTTCCAGTTCCAGAGTGAATATCACCTCTGGGATCCAGGTACAACTGTGTCGTATGTCGTTAGACATAAGTAGTATGTAACACCAATAGGAAGTGAGGGGCCTTGCAGCAGAAAGCTAAAAGTTCGAGTTGAAGAGAACAGAAGTGAAAATATAAAGGAATTGTGAACAGGAAGAGTCACATAGAATGTGAAGGACAAATGAAATAAACTTGCAAATGAAGTATTCAGTGTATGGCTTTCATATTTTATCAAGATATTCTGTAATTTTATGTTGGAAATACAACAGGATATGCCCACCTGTGTTCCCATTCACAACACATCCAGCTGACGAGTTCCAACTAGGACGAAATGCGCATCCTGGATCCCACCATCTGTGTCTGCCTAAACATATTCTAGATGAAAAGGTGGCAAGTGTCCTGGTTAAGTAGCACTGGTGTTATATGAGATTGGTACTAGAGTCGAGTTTTAGTTTGAATATCAACACCTATTGAAGTACAACCAACAGAAAATTCCAAAATAGGTTGAAGAACGATTTGTAGTAATCACCGGTAATTGATATTCCAAAACCCAATCATAACTTATAGCTTTAGTATACAATGTGTTCGACGAAATTCTAAACATTTAGAATTTTGTGTTGTTTAAATTAAATGAAACTACAGACCAATATAGATCAATTCAGTAAAGAATGAACTCGGAATGTAGTCTTTAATTTACAAGCTATAAACTATTTTCATGTCAACAACATTAGCTTAGCAGTAGTTTTGTTATCACACACTTTAGACCAGGAGATTAGATTTGCTATTATTTAATTGTGGAATAACGTGTAACAAAATGGATATTACAACTGGGGCAAGGAAGAAATCTAAATACTATTTAGTTCCGAGTTAAACTATTGTTTTATTTTGTTTAAATTAACGATTAAGAAGAATGAAAATCAGCGAAGATTTTCTTTTCGACGAAATCATTTACTTAAGCTGTACATTCGTATATATAGTTATATGGAAAATGTATGTCTATAGAAGGATAGAAAGGATTGTATCACAAAAATGGATTCGAGAATAAATAACAAATGAGGTTAACGTACTAATCAAGGGCTAAGGGAGAACAGAATTTATGGGTCAGATAATAGTCCAAATGACAGATACGAAGAAAAACGATACAATCCTTTCTATCCCTCTATAGACATATATTTTCCATATAACTATATATACGAATGTACAGCTTAAGTAAATGATTTCGTCGAAAAGAAAATCTTCTTCGCTGATTTCTCTTTTTCTTATTCAATGACATTATGGGTTATTTTAATTAACGATTAATTGTATTCAATTTGTGAAATCCTAAACTGGTTTATAGTAAATCAACATAAACTATAAAAATGATCATCTTAGGATTTATCATATAACTTACAGCTACGTATAGTCTAGTGCTATGGAAACCTGCTTATCTTTGCTTAAATACTATGGATGGGATTATGTTTTCCAACTACAACAAAAACACAGTTTACTAGATCTCATACCTCATACACTAACTGTTGATTCCCATATGGAAATTTACTGGTTCCCAAAGAGGAAATTAGAACACTAGGAAACCCATAATGTTTTAATCGCAACCTTCATGGAATTAGACAATTTCAAATACCGGACCACAAAACACCAAGAACAGTATTTATTTATATAACTAAAACATTTCTGGCATGAAAATCTGTAATAAATTTACTATTCACTAAGCGCAATCAGTGAACAGTAAGGGACATAGCACCATCTAATGAATCAAAAGATAGCTTACAAACGGGGTTATTTAAAAATTCCATGAATCATATCTAATAAATAAACAAAGAAAATTAATTGACCCCTCAATTTTTTTCGAATTTCATAATTTTCTTTCGTCGCAACTATTCAGAATTATTTGATTAATAAACTTCATTCATTGTTTAAGCCTTAGATCATGATATGAATTAAAAATTTTATAAATAATTCATAAAGCCTATTGTTAATTAATTTGATAATAACTATGGAAACATCCTATGACAGATTTTTCTGTATTGTTTATATATTATTTTCTTTTTTATTGATTTTTAATTGACTTATTTTTGTATTAACTTAGTTATTTCGTGGCTCTAGAATAGTAAAATGTTCAAGTAATAATTTTGATGCATTTGTGTCACCAAATTATCCACCGATTGCTGAATTAGGAACTGAAATAACCGTTAATTATGATTTAATTTTTCGAAAACCTGGATTACCTAAAACATTTTGTATTCATACAAATTTATGTCAAGATGTTGCAATACTAAATATATTTCCATTAATATCTAAAGAACATATTATTTCAATGTTATCACCTCCTATTAAAGGTATGTTTGTTTTATTTATTTTGAAAATAGACATCATTCAGTTGATAAGCAAATAAGAATTATTCTCATTGAGAGGATTTGTGCAGATTATAATATTAATAACAGTTGAATTCACGAATCAATCCAAGCTAGACCACCATTGGGAACTGCTGAGGACGAAACGGCCGTCCAGTGCTTCCAGGTTTTCAATGGTGGTTTAGGTTAGATCGACTTGTGAATTCAGCTGTTAATAATTATTCATTTATTTTAGGAATAGAACATATTAGAACATTTTTTATAAATGATAACTTATTTAGTCAAAAATAAGTGAATTTTAGGTATAAATGCATCAGTAGCTTCGTTTTTACACACTTTATTAAATGAAATGAAAGTAGAAAAAAATGGTAAATTAGATAAGTGCAATGAATGAACTTCCATATGATGGTCTAGCTTCAATTGACTCATGATTTCAACTACTGAAATTTCTAAAATCTGCACAAAACCCCTTCTGAACATATTTATTTGTTTACTAACAGTTCTTTATTCATATATGACCGATTATAAATTTAAACATTATGTCATACTGTTAAGTATGTCAGCTTGTATATGTATGTGTAAATATGTGCTGAACTGCATTTTTGTCTTGACAATTTTTCCGTATTCGTGTAGATCAAAAAAGTTTATTCTATAAATACAAGTGGGTATTATGTCCTCCTGTTGCTTATATGATTTTATTTACTCTACTGATACAATACAAAGTTTTGACACTTTTTATGTCGTTAATATGTAGTTTTAAATGATTACTATCAAGTCAATCAACCATGAGCATTGTAGACTTTTTTACAAATGTGTTTCAGTTCACGTTGGTACATTTTTAATTGACACAGTAAGGTAACATTTACAAGATGAAAGGCTAAGAATTTGGAAATATAATACCAATGGTAGTGAAAAAATAAATGCAAATAATTTATTCAGATAAGAACACACAAAAACGATGAGTTGAAAGCGTCAAATAATATAACAACAGTGAACTGATATTGAGCCTAGTCATTTACGATCTTTAGATGTAAATTACTATTGTTTTGTGAACTTCAAGCAGGAGGTAGGTATTTTCTGGCATGGTTCAAATGTAAGCTAAATTATTTGATGAATAGATATTTAGGTTCGCGTTTTAGTACCTAAAATGTCACCCTTATAATGAGATTCACCAATTTCGAGAAAAGATTCAGGTATCATGAAGTTACGGATATTTATTTACTATATACATACATATAGGCTATATGTGGTACTGTTAACATTATTCAAATTTTAGGAGTTGTTCTTCGGACATATGGAGCTGGTAATATTCCATCTTCCCGTCAGGACCTACTGGATGCACTAAAAGAAGCTTCTGATCGTGGTATACTTATGGTGAATGTCACACAATGTTGGCGTGGTGGCGTTAAAGCAGTTTATTCAACTGGGATGGTTCTCAATGAATATGGTGTAACTCCAGGATATGTAAGTTGTATGCATAAGCACTATATCAGACCACAAATAAATCAAATTGATTTCATTTAAATGTTTTCTGTAAACCTTCACAGTTAATTTAACTTATTAGTGTGTTTGACTATTTTTATAACCCAGTCAATTTCAAATGAACTCAACCTTCATTCATTGAGTGTGTTTAAATGAAGGCTTCTTGAAATGAACCCGTTTGCATCTGCTTAGTTTATTATTGAATAAAACATATTTTGCTGTATTAAGTTTATTTTTTAAAAATTATCATATTTATGTATCATGACGTTGGTATAAACCAAGAAGAACTGGAAATGGAAGCAAAACTATATTATCCAGTGGATAGTTTATCTGAAGCCAAGATACCGGCTTGAATGCAGTATATACTATTTATGTAATTAGGCTTAGCATTTTGTATCTTGGAGACAATAGCTTTTTTGACCGTATTTGTGAATCATATTTTTCTTAAAATTTCCCGGTAAAAACAGGTCACCGCCAAGTGTATGAGTATTCTGATTCTTTACACGGGTTCCTTCCTGCAACAATAAGCATGCGTAATTATTCAACTAATACACTTACCGGCAACTCATAATGGGGGGGAAGGGTTATTTTCAAATACTTTCGTCTGAGGTACAAAAGAACGTTTAGTTATTAAGATTTGATTTCCGTAAATAATAATAACAATAATAATGGAGTGAGATTCAACCCATCAGGAACTGAGTAATAACCTGAATGCAACTGGTTTCCCACTAATAATATTCTAAATAAGATATATATAGGCAGGTGACATATTAGATATAATGTTTATTTTTGACCATACTGGTAAGATAAGAATACAGTGTTAGTTAATTCTTCGAAGCTTTCACTCTTGTTTATCATAACGGTCTATATGTTATTGACATAGAAATATTCTACGATAACCTTTAATACATATGAGGTGGATGCCACTAATGCTGGCAGATGTAAGTAGTGTGTAGCACCAAAAGGAATTGGAATGCCTGCAAACAGACGGTTGAATCGAGAAGAACGGGAAGGGAAACAGAGAACAGTTGGAATAACAACAGAATCGGGAAAATCATGCAGCACGTACAGGATAACGGAAGGAAGATGTGCTAATAATGTTTTGAATGCACAGTTTCCATATTTTTCCAAGACACTGAGTAATTTTGTCTGAAAAATTAATTTTGTTTTCCCCACCTGAGTTCTCATTCACTATATATATATATATATATATATATATATATATATATATATATGAACAATCAACATTTTATTAGATTTTAGACATGATTCATAGTGTCAACTAATTTATTCTATATCTCCTTATTTTATTTTTTATCATAATATTTATTGTTAATATAGGATATGACAACTGAAGCAGCACTTATCAAATTGGCCTATATATTGAGTAAAACAGAAAATAAAGATTATTCCTGTAAACGTGCAATGTTATTAAATAGTTTGAGAGGTGAAGTGACAGTTGAAGGAGAAGACTCTAGAGCAGCTAATTTATCACTATATAACCTAAATTGTTTAAATCAAGATAGAAATCTTATGATATATTTCGCCAAATTATTCTCAACAGCTTCGTTAGATGATTCTGAAGGTATTGGTTCAATGTGGGTTCAGCGTATAGTACCGACACTTGCGTGTTGTGCAGCTGCATCAAATAATTTGTCATGTTTAAAAGAAATGTATCATATAATTGGACATTTACAGGTACACCTTACTATTTAATTATTTAAAATAGAGAAAATATATTACTCGGACTATTTTCATCTCAATTATTCTGTAAAACAGAATACCTATATATTTTTAGTAAAATATACCCCTACTTCGACAAATCCTGTTGATTAGTAAATAAGTGAACAAATGAATGACTGACTAAGTAAAACGTTGCCGAATTTGGGATACATTTTTATCGTTGTAAGTTGACTGGATACCGAATATTTAAAGAGAATCAAAATGACGAATAATATTAATCAGTGGTTTGCTGTATCATTACTACGCCCTAGTATTTACTTATTTAAACTCTTTTTATCTTTCTGTCTCCTTTTCTTCTCTGTCTTCTACTATTACTTACTTACTTACTTACTTACGCCTGTTACTCCCAATGAAGCATAGGCCGCTGACCAGCATTCTCCAACCCACTCTATCCTGGGCCTTCTTTTCTAGTTCCATTCAATTCTTGTTCATTTTTCTCATGTCTATCTCCATTTCCCGGCGTAATGTGTTCTTTGGTCTTCCTCTTTTCCTTTGACCTTCAGGATTCCATGTGAGGGCTTGTCTTGTGACACAGTTGGGTGCTTTCCTCAATGTGTGTCCTATCCACTTCCAGCGCTTCTTCCTGATTTCTTCCTTCACTGGGATCTGGTTTGTTCTCTCCTACAGTACGTTGTTGCTAATAGTGTCCGGCCAATCGATCTGAAGTATTTTGCGTAGACAATTGTTAATAAACACCTGTATTTTCTGGATGATGGCTTTTGTAGTTCTCCAGGTTTCTGCCCCATACAGTAGAACTGTCTTGACATTTGTATTGAAAATCCTGACCTTGGTGTTGGTTGACAGTTGCTTTGAGTTCCAGATGTTCCTCAGTTGTAAATATGCTGCTCTTGATTGCCGATCCGCGCCTTCACATCTGCATCAGATCCACCCTGTTCACCAATGATGCTGCCCAAATACGTAAAGGTTTTTACATCTTCCAAATCTTCTCCGTCAATTTTGATTGAATTGGTGCATTCTGTGTTGTATCGGAGAATCCTGCTTTTCCCTTTGTGTATATTGAGACCTATTGCTGCTGAGGCTGCTGCCACACTGTTTGTCTTCTCCTGCATCTGTTGTTGCGTTTGGGATAGAAGGGCCAGATCGTCTGCGAAGTCTAGATCATCCAACTGCATCTTAGATGTCCATTGTATCCCGCGCTTTCCTTCGGACGTTGACGTTTTCATGATCCAGTCGATCACCAGGAGAAAGAGAAAGGGTGAGAGTAAGCAACCTTGCCTGACAATGGTCTTCACTTCGAACGACTTTGTCAACTGTCCTCCATGCACGATTTTGCAGTGTAATCCATCATATGAGTTCTGTATGATATTGACTATCTTCTGAGGCACGCCGTAGTGTCGAAGAAGTTTCCATAGTGTTGTCCTGTCCACGCTATCAAATGCCTTTTCGTAGTCAATGAAGTTGATGTAGAGTGATGAATTCCATTCAATTGATTGTTCCACAATTATCCGTAGAGTTGCGATTTGGTCTGTACACGATCTATCCTTACGGAATCCTGCCTGTTGGTCACGAAGTTGGGCGTCTACGCAGTCCTTCATCCTGTTTAACAATTTCATGTTGAAGACTTTTCCCGGTATTGAGAGAAAAGTGATGCCCCTGTAGTTATCACACTTGCTGAGATCGCCTTTCTTCGGTATTTTGATCAGTAGTCCTTCTTTCCAGTCTGTTCGTACTTGTTCCTCATCCCAAATCTTATTGAAGAGAACGTGGAGTATCCTTGCAGTTGCCGCTACGTCTGCTTTTAGTGCCTCTGCTGGGATGTTGTCCGGTCCTGCTGCTTTGCCACTCTTGATTTGTCTGATGGCCATGCTGATTTCTTCAATTGTTGGTGGGCCAACATTGATTGGGAGGTCCGTGGGTGCTGCTTCGATGTTGGGTGGGTTCAGTGGAGCTGGTCGATTCAACAGTTCTTTGAAGTGTTCTACCCACCTGTTTTGTTGCTCTTCAATGTTGGTGATTACCTTGCCTTCCTTGCTTTTCACTGGTCGTTCTGGTTTGCGGCGATTTCCAGAGAGTTTCTTTGTCGTGTCATACAATTGTCTCATGTTTCCTTCTCTTGCAGCCTTTTCCGCTGTCGTTGCTAAATCTTCCACATATTTACGTTTGTCGGTTCTGATGCTCCTCTTCACTTGTTTGTTTATTTCTGTGTATTCAGCTTGTGCCTTGGCTTTTTCTGCTCTTGTTCGGCTGGTATTGATCGCTGCCTTCTTGTTCCTCCTTCCTAGAATCTTATCCAGTGTACCAACAGTGAACCATTCCTTGTGGTGGTGCTTCTTGTGACCCAGGACCTCATGACATGTTGAAGTGATTGCCTCTTTGATCCCCTTCCAGTTGCTCTCCACAGTAGTTCCTTCTCCATTGAGTAGATCATGAAAGGCCTGGAACTTGTTGCTGAGGACTATCTTGAATTTGTTGAGTTTGTTAGTATCCTGGAGAAAGGCCGTATTGAACTTTTGTGATACTGTCTGCCCCGTTGTCCAGTGCTTCTTGAGTTTCAATTTCATCTTGGCGACCAGTAAGTGATGATCTGATGCTATATCAGCTCCTCTCGTGGTTCTCACGTCCTCTATAGTCCTCCTGAACGTTTTGTTGATGCAAATATGGTCGATTTGGTTTTGCGTGGTGTGATCCGGTGAAGTCCATGTGGTTTTGTGTATGCGTTTATGTGGGAATATGGTGCCGCCTATGACCAGCTTATTGAAGGCACATAGGTTTGCAAATCTCTCACCATTTTCGTTTCTTTCTCCCAGTCCGTGTCGTCCCATGATGTCTTCATATCCAGTGTTGTCCGTTCCAACCTTGGCGTTGAAATCTCCCATCAGAATGGTCAGGTCCTTTGTTGGGCACTTCTCGACGATTGACTGCAGCCTATTGTAGAATTGGTCTTTAGCGTCTTCATTGTAGTCGTTGGTAGGCGCATAGCATTGGATGATGTTCATTGAAATGCCCTCTTTCTTTGTTTTGAAGGAGGCTTTGATGATCCTTGGTCCATGAGATTCCCATCCTATAAGCGCATTTTGCGCTTGTTTGGACAGCATCAATGCAACTCCTTGTGTATGTAGTGCATTTTCTTCTTCATGGCCGGAGTATAACAGGAGCTCTCCTGTAGTTAGTCGTTGTTGTCCAACTTGTGTCCAATGTGTTTCACTGATCCCAAGTACCTCTAGGTTGTATCTTCTCATTTCCGCAGCAATCTGGAAAGCTCTTCCGGTGTCCCACATTGTACGAACATTCCATGTACCTAAATAAATAGTCGCTCTGGTTGTCAGAAGGGGCATCGGCCTCGTAACTTCCGAAGGGATTCGGCTTTCATCATGAGGCGTCATAATTCTTCTAAATGAAGATCTTCTGACTCCCAGGGCAGAGTTTAAAAGGTTTGAATAGTTTTTTCTGGCTAGCGTTTTTTTTAGCGAGTTAGTTTTCTACGGGATGGGGATGCTAACCCCATACCCAACCCTCCTCCTTTATCCGGGCTTGGGACCGGGAGTAGCCCCCGGAGGGACTCCAGGCGGAGTTGTTTTCTACTATTACTCTACTTTAAATATCTAGATAAACATTTAATTCCAAGTAGACAGGAATTGACGCGAAGATTTTCGAACTTATATATAATAACTAAAAATTCACTGTATAATATAGTTATTTTACGAAAATGTATGAACCAAGTTATTATCTTATTCAAGAAAGGTATCAAATTAGGCTTAGTGTTTCTTAGAACTGTCAACAGTGATTTGGAAGTAAATGCAAACTGATACTTCTGACTGTCATAAGCGAAGAAAATCAATATTACTTTTAAAATATCCATCTTACTGAAGTTTATGTGTACAACTAACATAAGATAATTTTTTTTGGTTGGAGATTGATGACAGTAAGTGATAAACGCAGTCTTTTGCTTTATCGTACTCAACAACACATTCACAAAACCTTAAGACAACTTGTTTTGTTTCAGGGAATCAGCTAGGAGATCACAGGAATAGATAACCGGACTTACAATTGTGATATAGCTTACAGATATCCCACTCGAAACAAAAAGTTTCACTGTTTTATCTATACAAATTAAGCAAAACTAGATGTAAAACGTTTCAGGTTTCTGTTTTCGGTTGAGATTAATTAAACTTTTCAAAAATTTATGACTGTAATTGTAGATAATCTCTTCAAGGTATTTCTTAACCAACATTATTAGGATTGTTCAAAAGCACCGATTATCGGTTAAATACATATGCCTACACTAAAATCTATAAAACATATGGCTGAACTTGAGAAAAAGATTCTTTTAGAATATAAATAATTCAACATTTTCAGGTATGTACGTTAAAAGTGGCTTTTATTACAACAACGTATGAACTTTTGCACTCAATTTGTCAGATATTAATAACAAAATCATTGTTATCGGGCGTATTTTATATTTGTAGTAATCTCAACGACTACAAGTAAATAATTCTAAACTTGCATCAAAAATCTGATTAGAATTTTTTTCAAGGGTGTGATAAAAATTTTTGCAAATAAGTAAGATCACAAGGTATTGTATGGTTGTTTTCGGTCGTTAATCCTGTGTATGTTAGGAATAGGAATCATTTTATTTGAAATACGTTCAAACTATCATAAATGTTCATTGATAAAGATCTAGTAGAAAATATAAGTTATAAATCAGTATCTCATAGTAAATATTCTAACGTAATATTTAACAGTATCTCAGTAGGTGTACTAGTAAATGAAAAGCAAACATACAGAAACTTATTATTTAATTATTTTTAATGCCATTTACATTAATCTTGTTTTTAACTTTCTTTGAATTATAATTTTAATAGTTTAGTTCTTTAGCAAATAATTTAGGAGTGTGGAGAGTTATTTTGCAAGTATACATATCGGCGAATTTGTATGATTAACTGCAGGTCTTAACGATATATTCTCTTTAGAGATATTCGTCAGCTCATAAAATCTCCAAGGTTTTCAGCTTTTTAGTAATAAAGCGAACTATAATGAATTTTCTGGTTTCAGTTTCCATAGACCGTAGCAATTCGCTTGTTTCAGCCCTTATTCTTTAATGTGATTTGGGTTAACACTTCATTTGCTGAAATGTTTGTATAGTTCATCATGGAGATGACGCATAATTTTTCCTTCATAATGTGACGCATCTGTAATAATCGTGATCTTGGATTTTCCTGGTTTTGTGATAACAGATATTTTATTTTTAGTTAGCTATCTGAAGGTGTGTATCACATCCTTAGTTGTGTTCTTGATGTTATAATATTGTAGTGAAAACTTTATTTAATATCAGAAGGGGTTTTGTGAATATTATAATAATTTTGATGAAGTTTTGTTCTCTAAGCTGGATGGTTTGGTCATGGAGCTTTCATCGTTTTTCTGAACAATATCATCAGCACAAACTTCAGATAGAAGTGAAGCGTTCGAATTTCTCCATATGTGGTTCACAGTTTGTCCTGTAGACTTCGATGTTGATTGATTCTTGTTGACCTCAAACTTATCATTGTTTACTTCTTTCTTTTGGTCGTGTCTCCAATCGGTTTGATTTTTGTGCCTATGTTTGTGTATAATTTTCCTGAATGGTTGATAAATTTGATCGATTTCAATGTGCTTGTTGGTCGCTGAGTGCCAAGCTTCTAAAAATCCTCTGATTTTTTTTGGAATTTCCTCCATCCGCTATTTCCACATTTTTCCAGTCAAATGAGTGTCCTCAGTTGTCCACGTGTATCGATATAAGCGAGGAAATGTCATGGCGTTTGACTGCTAATTGATATTCATGCAGGCGAAGAGGGCACCCCGCCTCCCGATATTCGAACCCAGGACCTACCAGTCTCGCGCGCGAACGGTTAACCTCTAGACCACTGCATTTCCTCGTTTATCAAAAAACCTCTTGAATGTTATTTAAGGCGAAGGTATAATTTTTGGTGAAGACAAATATTATATGAAACTCTTGCTGTAGATTAAATGTTTTTACTTATTTAAACTTCTATTTGATCCATTCACTCCCACTGTATTTATATTGATACTTTAGTTGAAAGCTCCAATCAGTTGTCATATTTCAAAATAATAACTGATTTAACGAAGTTTTGTGCTTCTTTAATAGTAAAACTAAAGGTGAATACATTGACGTTAGCATATGAATGATAAATAATGTCACCCCACAACGTTAGAGTTAAGACAGTGAACTATTTTTAATAAGCAGCGAATTTAAGTTCGCCAAGAAATAAAACATTTCTGTTAACATGACACGAAGGAAAATATAAAAACAGTAATGCTCATAGTAACTGATCTGTTTTTGACGCATTTAGGAGCACTCAATTTTTTAACCATAAACTGCAACAAAATTCCAATGTTGAACATTGAATGAATACTGTAGAGATCCACTCTTACTTAGTCCCGATCTGTCTGTCGAACGATTTTCATTAGATTATCTTAACACTTTTCTGAACAAGCCCCTTTGAAAGAGATTAAATGAAACTAATGGTACTTTAGTATATTTTATTTGCACTTACTTTCCTTTAACAGAGGTGTTTTTGTGCGAATTTATTACTATGTAGTAAAAAGTATCATATTTTTGTGATTAATACTGATTGAACCGCTTTGGACAAAGAAGTTTTACCTGCTACTAAAACAGATAAATGATAAACTTGGAAAAATTCTTAAATTGTTTCTCAATTTGTTTGAAGTCTGATCTTTACGTTCCATAGATTTCAACTTTAACTCAAAATTAAATTAGTAAATAATTGGAACTTATCAATAAAACCGAGTTGTTCACTGGTACACGTTGAAAAGTATCAATCTTTAATTGTTGGTTTTCTTGTTTACAGTTATTTGACACTGAAGGATGCACACCACTGCATAAATCAGCTTTATATGGTCATATTTCAGCGACAAAATATTTATTAGAATGTGGTGTATCAGTTCATATTGCAGATAAAAGTGGATATACCCCACTTCTTTGTGCTTTAAATAGTCTAATACTGTCTTCTGAATTAGTACAGTTACTATTAGATGTTGGTGCTGTATTAAATTCTGAGAGTCAACTTGTCACTAAACTGGTTCATCAAGCAGTTTCAGATGGTGATATTCAAAGGTTACGCTTATATCACTTATGTGGATATTCATTTTATGTAAGTCATTTTGTTTTATTATGCAGACATAATGAGCTAGTGTTAGTAGTAATAAGTCTTTAATTGTTTGTTTAACAAAACGTAGAGGATTATAATGAAGGAAGAAGTCTTATTGAAAACTACTTACAGAAACGTGGTACTCTCAGTGTAACTGGCACTCAGGATCATCTTGTGATATTTAAGCAGCTCATTATATGTTACTTCGAATTAGGCAGTTGTGGAATGATGCAAATATTCATCTATCAAATGCTTTTGGAGAATTGAAATGTTTAAAGATTTTTCTGCTCAATCAATTTGTCTTTGATGAATTCCTTAATTGAGTATTCTTGTGTATTTCACTGTGGCTGAACAATCTCATTAACCACTTTAAATTTCCATGTGTATTTTAGAGTGTTGAGAGTACTGAGGTTGGAAGAAACATAAATTTCATTATTACCAAATGTGTAAATGCATGTACTTTTAACCGGTGATTTCAAAATGGGATGATATACACTTCATAAGATCGGTCACTATTATAAGTTATTACCAAAAAGCAATTTCTAAAAATATCAAGATATTTTTACATGACATGGACTTGTCGATCATTGCTAATCACTTAGTCAGGTACAATGACAAGCATTTAGGGAATGGTATGAGTGACTCTTTGCTGTTGTGATAAAGTGGATATGAAGCGATAATAAGTATTTGGCGGCCTGCTTGAATATCTGGACTACCTGTTTCTGTCATCTAATTATTTCAACAAGTTATCTGTTTTTTCATTTGTTTTAACATGCAATTATGTCCATTAATCGCATAACCTATTCAGGCGCTTTAATGAAAAGCCTACGAAATTTCGCTGCGCAAGCTACAGAAAAGTACTATAAAAGACATCGTGGTGTTTGGCAACATGAGTTAAAGAGACTTACTTACTTACTTACTTACTTACGCCTGTTACTCCCAATGGAGCATAGGCCGCTGACCAGCATTCTCCAACCCACTCTGTCCTGGGCCTTCTTTTCTAGTTCCATCCAATTCTTGTTCATTTTTCTCATGTCTATCTCCATTTCTCGGCGTAATGTGTTCTTTGGTCTTCCTCTTCTCCTTTGGCCTTGAGGATTCCATGTGAGGGCTTGTCTTGTGACGCAGTTGGGTGCTTTCCTCAATGTGTGTCCTATCCACTTCCAGCGCTTCTTCCTGATTTCTTCCTCCACTGGGATCTGGTTTGTTCTGTCCCACAGTGCGCTGTTGCTAATAGTGTCCGGCCAATCGATCTGAAGTATTTTGCGTAAACAACTGTTAATAAACACCTGTATTTTCTGGATGATGGCTTTCGTAGTTCTCCAGGTTTCTGCCCCATACAGTAGAACTGTCTTGACATTTGTATTGAAAATCCTGACCTTGATGTTGGTTGACAGTTGCCTTGAGTTCCAGATGTTCCTCAGTTGTAAATATGCTGCTCTTGCTTTGCCGATCCGCGCCTTCACATCTGCATCAGATCCACCCTGTTCATCAATGATGCTGCCCAAATATGTAAAGGTTTTAACATCTTCCAAATCTTCTCCGTGAGTTAAAGAGAATGAACATTAATTGTATGTGGATTCCCGAGCTGCTAAATTCTAACTGCCAATCACTAATCAACAAAGTGGACTATCTGCAATTCCTACTAAGTCAAAATATGTATCGTAATTGTGGTGTCATCACAATTCAAGAATCTTGGTTAAATGATTTACAGCATGACTGCCTAGTATCACTACGTGATTTCAAAATTTATCGTCGGGATCGATCAAACAATAAAAAGAGGTGTGGTGGTGGTGTAGCTAATATAACATAATCTGGTGTCGATCTTCGTTTGTGTGTTTTAGGTTTTCAAATGAATTTATCGACTGTCTAACTCTAAGATGTCGTCCAAAACATCTGAAGAAATACAGATATGTTTGTGTTACTAATATCTACGTGACTCCAGACTGCACATCATCTGCGTTATCTGATTTCTCTGATGAATTCATTGAGTTCGCTGTTGCTGCCTTCAGTGATTCATTTTCATTTGTATGTGGTGATTTCAATTCATGTGACTGTAGCTTCCTTACTTCACTAGGTCACCAAAATGTAGTAGATTTTACTACTTCGTCTTCATTAATGATGTGGGTATATATGCGACTCGTAAACGTGCTCCACTGTCTAGCTCGGGTCACTGAATAATTCGTGTTCTACCTAAAGTATATGGAAAGTCTGGAAAGAGTACACTCGTACATCAAACCAAGGAAGTCAAATATAGGAATTACTCAGAAGAAAACATTCGAAATCTGAAAAACATGTTTCATACGACTATCTGGGAATTATTTACAGATGACTCACTGGAAATCCCTACTGATGTTATCAATTGTGACCTTAAATTCTGTTTTGACATTTGTTGTCCCACTGATCGACTCACATCTACACAATTAAAACGACTACGGAGGATGAAAGAAAGAATGTACAAGGAAAAGAACTCTAATGAAATTCGTAAGCTAAAGGGTCTGATAAACCTAGAGATTAGACGTCTCAACTGTATGTTTACTCAAAAACTTTTGTCTTGCAAAAACTCTCCAAGTATGTGGAAACTCTTTTAAGAACTTACAGGTGACAGGTAGTTTAAAAGCGAGAACCAGCTAAATGTTTGTGAATTAAATAAGTCTTTTGTACGTCAGTCATCTGATGTGATGCTCCCTTTATCCACAGGTTTAAATAATAGCTGTGTTCCTACTTTCACTGAAAATGATGTACGAAGATGTCTCCAGTCGCATCATAATATATCGTTCAACTTAGAAAAGGGTAAGAAGTATGATCGATGTGCTTTTCTGGACTATACTTCAGCTTTTGATTTTATGCTAAGACAACGTTTACTTAACAAGTTAATCAGAGTCAACACTGACAGCTGGATAACCAACTGGCTATGTTCCTACCTCTCTGGAAGGGAACAGTACACTCTATTTGGAATAAAGTGTTCAGTCTCTACTGTCTCATGAAGGTGTACCACAAGGAGCTGTTCTTTCACCTCTTCTTTTCTCTTTTTTTCTGCATGATCTGCCATCTTCCACAGAAAACACTTTTGTGAAGTATGCGGATGATCTCACTGTATGTATGCCTATCTCTTCCTCTTTACATCCCGTAGAAATGAATCAGTTTTTGTCTCGTATTGATTGTTGGTCTGTTGTTAATGGTCTCATACTTAATCCGTCTAAATGTCAAGCTGTTAACTTTAGCATGAGACATGAACGGAATCTAAACACCATTTTAAGATCCCATGATGCTTGTACCATTGGAGAATATTTGATAAATACAGTGTCGCAGGTCAATTATCTTGGTGTCACTTTTTCCTCTGATCTCTCTTGGTCTTCCCACGTTTTATTGTTATCGAATAAGGTTTTCCGTCTGACTTCATACATAAACAGATTGCATGCTCTCGGGATTACTCGTTATTTACTCTTACCATTTGTCAGTTCTTGCATATAACCTATTATTTTTTACTGTTCTTGTGACGACGGACCACCGGTGAACTCGAGGAAGCTGTAAGAGGCTCAGAAGGAGCCGAAGACATCCCATCCAATCACCTTTCGGAAGAATGTTCTAGAATTCCGACGTGTAGCTTCCCGATTGGATGATGCTAATAGTCCCCTGTATGCTGATTGGAAGACTGTAATGATGATTTCGTTCTCACTAAAAACTATAAATACCTGACAATTTTGTACTATGATTGACACTGTTTGGAATAATATTCCTTTCGTTAGTCTTCTGTCTTCGTATTGCGAATTGGAAGGGTTTTGGTGTTCTAGTGCTCTGTTATACGCGGCAGTATCAAGAAAAATCAACTTTTCAAGATACAACAGTTCTCCGTTATTCTTTCTCGGGCTTTTGAGAAAAGACTTTGCTACATTGCGGAGAGTGGTGAAGGCATCTAGCAAGGTGTGTGATCAATCTTTCGAGGTCATAATTAATGTGGTTGTGGATAGACATCTAAAGTCATGCAAACGACTGGCAGGTGTTATTTTATCAGATACTAGCCATTCCCTTCAGTCTTATCTTTCTCCTTGTATATCTTCTGGTAGAACGAGACGTAATTACATTAAAATCCATGCATGCAAGCAAAAGTATAAAAGTTCTATAATACCTTACCTAGCAAATATACTCTGTGACGAACAGGTTGTTAGAGTTAACCTAGTCAATAACCTGCATTCTTAACCTGTCTTTAATTTTAAAAGTTGTACAGTTTTTCGCGTTTTCTTTAAAACCTTTTTTATTTTTCTTTGTATTTGTTACTGTGTTTTTTTTGTTGCGTAAGTAACTTGTTGAAATACCCTGTGCTGAGAATCCTATATTGTACCAAAATATAATATTGAATAAAGCCAATAATAATAATAATAATAATAATAATAATAATTGTTGTTTGTAAGATACACTCTTATGAAATAAGTCATTATACTTTATACTACTTAATATATTAATAGTAACTGGATAACTAGCCTACAAAAGTAAATAAACCTGTTTTAATAGCTGAATTCATGAGTCAATCACTAAAATATCCACAAAGCCTCCTTCTGATAAACCTACTTTAATTTAACAATCCTCTTTATTGTTTCCACCTTAGTGATGATAATATGTTCGTTCACATTTTTCACTATCCTACTTATCCATTTGTTTGGAAGGATATGAAGGTGAGTTTCATATTACATGGATAGTTACACTGTTACTAAGTGAGTAGAAAATGTTATACTTCATAAGCTTTATTTATATTCATCAACAGTACTGTGTTCATGGAGTAAGCATTTTTTTATTGTCATTTTCATTATTATTGCTGTTTTCCCTAAAAAAATATGGAATTATACGCTTGCCTTTCTATTCATAAAAGAATATGGATGAAGAAGGTCGTTCAGCATTACATGTAGCTGTTACACATCGGCAATTGAATTCCATTAAATTTCTCATCTCACCAATATATAATGACGAAAACCCCCACGATAAAAAGATCAATGTAGAAGAAACAGAACTGGAATACGGTGCTGGTGTTGATCCAAAATGTCGAACAGTATGGGGTACAAGTGCATTAGATGAAGCGAAACTCCGACATTTCGATGATATTGTTCTACTTCTGGAGAAGTAACAATGATCAGTTCAAATTCTACATTAAAGGCTATGGAAATTAAAGGCAATAGATGATGGTTTTTAAACATGGTTGAAATTTCATTTGAATATTCGTTCCATAACTGGTTTTCTTGCTTACTGAATACTTTAATTCACTATTGTTGTGTTTGTTAGTTGAGTTGTTTCATTTATTGTTACATTCTATTCAAATACTTGTTTCATTTCTTTAGAACTGCACATTATCATTATTGTTCAGTTACTTTATTTTCTTTTTGTCAACTTTGATATTTCGACTGTTATTATGTATTAAATAGAATCTCGATTTGCCTTTTGGCCATTCAGTTTTGTTGAAGATGTTATTTCTATATTTCTTCCTTTACTACTATAATTCGATTGTAAACAGATTGATTCACTTAAGTCAACAGATTTATTCTTCTTATTATTATTATCATTATTATTATACAATATTCTAGTTAAATTGAACATTTACTTAACCAAGGAATTGGTACTAATGAAAATAGAGATTACAGTATATATAGGAATCCTCAGCAGTGCGCATCGTTTATTTTCCGTAAGGTGAGGATCTAGAAAAAAAGAAGATTTGATTAACTAATTAATGACATAGGAAACAAGAATGCATTTAAGTGAAATTTACAAGATTAAAGAAAATTAAGGACGCTAAAAAAGCTTCATAATGATATATCCTATAAAAATCAAGGAGTTTTCTTAAAACGATTGATTTTCCTCTCGACAGAATACTTAAAAAAATACATATTATTACATCTGCTAAGATGAGGAAAAAAAATATGATTAAAGAATCTAATTAACTGAATAAGATTTTATTACATGAATAGACTAACAGGATAATCGTGAATTATAACTATACATTCTATTTATTGTACTAAAAAAGTTCTCGAATCATACTGTGCTTCATTCCATTCTATTACTATTAATACTGTTCGTATCTCTGCTACGCTGAGATTTACCTTGACAGTTTCATTTTGCTGTTCTAATGGGATCTAGTAACATGGAGCGGTGGACACATATGCCAGATTGTAAGTCGTCAATGATTGACCGTTATCACTCATTTTACGTATTTAACTATTGATATTTGCTTGTAAATAAATATCATTTAACTTTGTTACTACTTACTTATTATTTCAAATATTTGTTAACAGAATCTTTCATGAACCCGCATAGAATTATCTTACTGAACTTCAGATTTTAATCGCTGAAAAATTCCCATTATATGAAAACACAATTGTATGGACGAAGAATATTCTTTTCAATAATTTCTCATTAGGTTCTACAATTATAAATCCAGATTAATAATCCATAAAATTGACCAGATTTAAGGCAAAATACATCATTTAGAAATTGTAATATGTGAGTCAGGAATTGTTTGTTATATAAATAAAATCGTTAATGTTGGGGCTGACTAATATGAAGTGTTAACTTGAATCAGTTTATAAGTGAAATGAAATTGTGAGATAAATTATCAGAATAAATATGGTCAACATGGGGTAAGAGAGAGAAAGAATATTGTGATTACAAATCGGAAATTGCGTAATATGTAAAATAATTAGGTCAAATATAGTAGATTCAGGCAGGGGTGGATATTAAATAAATTCCTCAAAAAGGGGTTATCAAGTGTAAAGACAATAATAATAATAAGTTTGGGACATAAAATGAACAGTAATCAGATTACGTCACCACATTATAAGATTGACTATTAGCTAGTTGGCCAGGGGAAAAGGAGTGGATGAACATACTTCTTTTGGATACAAAGCTCTGGCTTTTTGATCCGAATAGCAATTGCTTCAGCCTTCTGTAGGATACGCAGTCTGACGGAATTAGGTAGACTGCTGTGGACACGATAGATTATTGCAAAAGATTGCTCCATATTTGCTGTATGTCCTGTTTGGACTAAATGGTTTAAGATGGAGCTGTTAACAGTTTTGACAACACCTTTGCTTAACCACACGGGTAGGTGCTCACGAGCCCGAATGTACAAATTCCTAGAACATCTGCCAATATAACTTGCTCCACAGGAGCAGTTGAATTGATAGATACAGAAGGAGGTGGCTAGTCTAGGTAATTTATCTTTCAACCTCGGAGTGATTATTGGTCGTGTGGAGAATACTAGTAGTAGTTTAGCTGCAATAAAAGTCCTTTGAATTGATCTACTTAACTTAAGTCTTAACATTTCACTCGAAGCGTCACCTCTGAATTATAAGCGTATATATAGAGGCTTTTTATTTACTGTTGGGCATTCTCTACGCTGTCTTTTATTGGCTAATTTTTTATTTATAAATTTCTCCGGATATCCATTTTCCTTCAGGGTTGTAAACAATATCTTTGTTTCATCTTCAATCGTATCCATAGTGTATATAGTCTTGGTTGTATGATGTAGTGTCTTGATAAGGTTCCTTTTTCTTGTAGAGGAACGAAACTGGGAAAGTTAGTATATTGACCCGTCCAGCTCATTTTCCTGTTTATGTTTCTTTTTTAGCGTTCCATCTTTTCTCCTTGTAAGCAGAACATCTGGGAAGGCTATTTTATCCCCATTTATTCAATATCCACCCCTGAATCTACTATATTTGACCTAATTATTTTACATATTACGCAATTTCCGATTTGTAATCACAATATTCTTTCTCTCTCTTACCCCATGTTGACCATATTTATTCTGATAATTTATCTCACAATTTCATTTCACTTATAAACTGATTCAAGTTAACACTTCATATTAGTCAGCCCCAACATTAACGATTTTATTTATATAACAAACAATTCCTGACTCACATATTACAATTTCTAAATGATGTATTTTGCCTTAAATCTGGTCAATTTTATGGATTATTAATCTGGATTTATAATTGTAGAACCTGATGAGAACTTCAGATTGTTCGAATTTCATATTAATTGATTTTTGGTTATAATCTTTGCTTCCCATCAAATCAATACACATGCTCATTCTTGTTACTATAGTTTTCAATAAGATCAGGGAAACTAAAAAATCAGAAATATTGAATACTCATTTACAACATTATTTAGATACAGTGTTTGTTAATAAGGCCACAAAATGCTTGTGTGATATAGACAAGCTAGTTAAAATCTTTAGGATGCTAGAAATCAATGACTAAAGATTTTGAATGACGTAATTCGAAGTCAGTTACAATTCTCGAAAATTTACATTGTCTTCTTTGCCGTCTGTTATCGGTACAAAACTATTCATTTTGTTCGTCTTTTTGAATATTATCATTTTGTGACATAATCAAATATAAAAGAAGTAAGCGAAAGACAAATTCAGATAGATTACATTTTCAGTAAAAATATTCTTTTCACAAAGAAGATTTCCTAAGGTTTGATTATACAATGTTCAGTAGACGTTCTTTGTAATAAAAATTAACAAATAGCTCAAAAAATATTAAACCAACTTTCTTACAATAATCAAGACTTTTAAATCCATGTCATGGGCAACTGATTGTTTTAACAAGAATATAGAAAGCAAAGCTTTTCCAGTACGGTTTACACCAAAGTGTTAAAATTTTAAATCTAGTATAAATAAGCAAATTTCATCAGATCAAAATACCAAAAACTGCAGTGAATTCCTTAGGTCAACAGAATAGAATAGCATAGGTTGAACTACTGGACTTGAAGAGGTGATCGACAAACGACATTAATCTAGAAAATGCTATTGATCCCCGCATAAATTCGTATTGGATCTATAATAACTGGACTCATTATCCAGTCAATTATATGTAGAATGAAGGTGGATTTTGTAATGAGTGAATCGGCAGAGCACTATGTATGAAAAAATTTGGAATAGGGAGGAACCAAAAAGTTGATTTGACGTATCAGTAGGCGCTTAAGATGCATTTATATTTTATAATAAAGAAATCGATAGTAATGAGTAATAACTAAAGTGTGAAATGACAATAGTTTGACAATCGGAACTGGAAGTTGACAGAGTGAGATTTGAGATATTTTGCAGTGTTTCTGGAAATAAAAATATTGTTTTTTTAATTGAACAGCATTTTTATTTTATGTACTAAGATTATAATTGCTTAATGGCTGTACACAATAATATTTTATAATATTTGTTTCGAATTTTATCACGTAAGTAATGTTTTACTAATCTCCAGTATATTTAGTTATAATATGACTGACATTATTATTAAAGCATAAAGTGGTAACTAGACAAACGTTTATCTGAATGCATTCAAGGTTATCACATGCCTAAGATTTGGATTTGTATAAATATATCACACATTTGACCTTTGAAATCAATTGGTTAGTTAAGTGGACTGACTCCCTTTGGTCTATAATAGAGACTATTTGTTCAATAAAATAAAACATTCTAGTAAACTTATCACACAATACATTCATATTATTGTCGAGTAATAATATACCCATTTATAAGCATTATCCATTGGCGGGTAAATAAATAATTTTGTGCTTTATTGTACGGTGAGTTATTTTTTTAAAATATATAGATGATTTTATGATGTAAAAATGAAAATGTAATTATATTGCACAGGAACTAAGCTGTCAGTAAAATTATTTGATAATGTGACTGACAATGAATCAAATAGAATTTAAAATATGAACCATTAAGTACCAACTCGTTGACTGACACGAAAACTTAAGTTACTGAATTCTATCTCGTGTAGGGTCTCATTTATGTACTGACTAAAGCTTAATTTTAGGATGAAATACCTCTTTAGTGCCTCCTGGTTTCCAGTAGTCCCCTAATCCTTATTTTAGGTAGTTTAAGTACGATAATATATGCCGTATGGTAGTCAGTTGTAAAAAATTTGTTGTAAGTTATGTGAGTGCAAGAAAAATTGGTAAAAATCCATAACTGAGTTAGTTTAGTAACAATACCGTGAAATGTAGAAGCACGATGTTTATATTTAGTGCTTCAATAATTGAACAAATTAAGCTTTAGAGGTATTACCAACATCGATGGAAGTAAAGGGAAACAGACTAAACATAGAGGCTTGATTAGCATTGTTTTGATCATTATGAATGTTAAGTTTGGAAAAGTGGTTGAATGTACTTTTTTCGAATGCGTAAGTTATTAAACATTATTCCTATGGCTCAAGTTATTTGGAATACAATAGGAAACTGAAAACGTTTTATAAATTGCATACCATTAATCAGATACAACAAGCCAAGTATGTTTCGATATTTGGTCACTCCTTCTTCCAGACAGCCAGTTATAATTTTGTGAAGTTTACCCCTTTAAAGATGGTCAAATGAATATAAGAAGACTGATAAGTTGATCATCAGTAAGTTATCATTTATCAGTTGTCTCTGGTCACGAAACTAATTCGTGTAACTTAGTTATACTAGTTTGGAACTATTATAGACTAAACTGACACCAAACGCACTACTCAGCATCATATTCATTCTACAAGAATAAAGCTCACTGATTAAATAGGAGTGTTTACATGTATCTTATGATAGCAGTTACAAAGCAATATTTATAATTTTAAGATTATTTTAAATGTTCCCTATAATTTCATTATTTTGAATAATCTGCTGACTACGGCTGTGGAAATCAATGTCAAAATTAGAAAGCAAATATTACTGATCGAAAACTGAACATTTATATGACGTGAAAGTAAATAGTTCAAGAGTACAGTTGTCTGAATTTCGTGACAAGATCATAAACATGAATGTGAGTTGTTACGAGAAGAAAATAATTGAACATCAATAGAGCTAGGCAGTACTAAGACCGTAAAAAATATTGACAATAATCACTAAGATAAGAGATTTGTTCATTGAGTGATTAATAAAATTTATTTGTCTGTTGTCAATAATGTCTTTATAGCCAATAATTTAATTAAGCTTGTAAAATGTTAAAGTGGTTGCATATATAACGACGTAATAACAGTAAGTAATTATCACATTCTCGTTATTGAAATAGTAATTAATACAACTTTATTATATTGTTAATAATGTAGCATCTGACTATATCTTGATACAAATACCTGAATCTTGGCATTCGCGTACACAAACAGTATGTTTTTATATTAAGAAATACACACGAAATCTAAGTCAATTTTCCTAGTGATTATCACTGATCATTTAACATCTAACGAATTTCTTCTCAGCGTTGTAAAAACAGGTTCTGTTACCCTATTACAGATTTCGATTGGACTTTGCCAGTATTGAGAATCAGATATCTTCATATTAATTACTTTTCAGCGAGCTGTAATAATGTTTAACTTTTATCTGGGTTCCTTACTGTCTAACTCTTATTAGTGAATTTAAAAAAATTATTATTTCAAGTTTTTGCTTTCAATACGCAAACCTTAGTAATATTAAAAATCAAATTCCATGTTTTTCTTTTCAACTATTATAGATGAACACACTAACAAAACAGTACGTTATCGGAATAGCGGGGTAATTACTCTAACACTCAATGGATTTTTTTTATCAGTGAACTAACAGTTGTATTTTCCATAACCATTACATCGAGGGAAAACTTTATGGATGGTACTTGAAAAAAATGACAATAAATTAGGACTCCTTACTGAAATGGACTATGACCATTTTTGATAAAAGTTTAGTGTTGTTGAGTAATTGAATGTTTAGTATAGATTTCTTTGTAGTCAAGATTTACCAGGAGCATTTAATGGATTTTTAATACGCTCCCAACTCAGTCAACATTTAAATCTAATGAGCATCATATTCAGTGGCTAACGGTGTATGACAAGTCATAATTACATGTTTCAAATTTATGCATAAAATTTACCAAGAGGAGGTCTGCCAACCGTACTGTGACATTGAGTTATTTGGATCAGTGACCATCATTCAGATAAAATTAGGTCGACACTTAAATTTTGACAATATAAGAATGTTTTATCACTTATTAACTGGTTATTACACCAAAAGCTATGATTTTAAATGTTAGTGTCAACTGCTAGTTCAAAGTGTTAGGATAGTGACAAGTAATACTAATCACTTTAGAAATGATAAAGAAAACTAGTAGACAGCTTCATATTTCTAGGAACAAAAACTCTTGGGTTTCAGTCCCAAATATTAATAGACATTCACTTGATCACTGTAGAACTGACAGTCATTAGTACCTATTTCACGAGCCTTAAAATGCAAATTGTCTAAATGTTTCCCTTTTTTAAGGGATAGTTGTGAAAGGAATATAATAAAAATAATAATGATATTTTTAGTAATGATACTGAACTATGTGTTCGAATCTCAGGAGTAGCACCGGCTTAATATCCACTGTAGAAGTTTTTCACTTACAATTTCTAAAGAACATGACAAGTTGAGGTCACTCAACATTTTTCTGATTAGCGTAATAATCTAAACTATGAAATCGTAACTACTTAGTTTGTCTGTACAACTTGTACAAATGGTTGGGCCAGTTATAAAATTTTACGTTGGATTTCTAATTACCGATATCTTCCCAGGAGTAGTTCGGAAAGGATTTTAAAGTAAATTTTACTTCTGTATAATTCAGTATATATATATTTTTTATTTGACTATTCTATAATATTGAAATTCGAAAGCTGCAATTCTGTTTTTACGATTTGTAATATGATAGTGGGTAATATCAAATACGGATAACTTTAATTAGAAACTGGTTTACTCTAATCCGTATGATGAAAAAAATGCGAACCATTTAGATCTTATAAAGTCTTCATTCTGTTTTCAGTCGATGAATTAAAATAATTATTAATACAAAACTATTTTAAACACCACAGTTATTTATAAATTTCTTAACATTTTGTATGTAATGAAAAGCAGGATGATTTTTTCCTTCTTAAAATACTTTGTTTGTTAGGGCATCGAATTCTGGAAAAACAACGATGACTGGAAAACTTACTGAATATCTACAATCTATTGGCTACAATGTTACATGTTTACAAATGGATGATTATTACTGGGTGAGAAATTTAAGTGTTACATTATCTTAATTTGTAAACCAAATAAAAGTTCATTTCACTTTGCTAATTTATTCGTATATGACACTTAGGAGTAATATGGGATAGTAATATACATTATTATGTAGTTGGATAATTTGTAAAAAATGAGTTTAGTTTAAAAAAATATTTCATTTATAAAAAGGGATCTCAACCAGAAAAGTATGAAAGACCAGTGGAATTTTTTACACATCTTTTATCAAGGTTTCTTATAAATGAACACAAGGAGTCGAGTCCATGACCTTAATATCTTACATTGACCATGATATCTCTAGACCATTGATTCAGTATCTGGTCACTTATCTATTTTCCGACTTCAATCGTTATTGTCAGATAATGATTGAGTCAAATTTTAGAAAATGTCACACTACTGTCAATACCAGGAAAGGTTTTCAACAAAAGTGTTGCTGAACCAGATGAAAGACTCAGTAGACGTTCAGCTGCGAGATCAACAGGTCGTATTCCAAAAGGATCAATCGTGCACAGACCAAATCGCGACATTACGCATAATCGTTGAACAGTCAGTTGATTGGAACTCGCTTTCTCATAGTCAAGAGAGTTAATGTATAGTGATGTTTGACAGTGTGAATAGGAGGAACATGTAGAAACCTTCTTCAACACTATGGTGTACCTAAAAAGATCGTCAACATAAGAAATTCATACGATGGACTACAGCGCAAAGCTGTTCATGGAGGACAGCTGACAGTCACATTTCAAGTGAGGAAAGGAGTCAGACAAAGCTGTTGACTTTCTCCCTTTCTTTTTCTTCTGATGTTTGACTGAATTATGATGACCTCCACATCTGAGGGAAAGCACGGAATACAATAGACAGCTTGGATGCAACTAGATGATTTGGCCCTTCTATCCCACACGCAAAAAAAATGCGAGTCAAGACAAACAGTGTAGCAGCAGCTTCGGCATCGGTAGGCCTCAACATACACAAAGGAAAAAACAAGATCCTCAAACCCAGCACAGAGAACACCAAGGCAATCACACTTGGAGAAACTCTGGGAGAGGTGGAAATGTTCACGTAACTGGATAGCATCATCGATGGACGTGGAGGATCTGATGCAGACATAAAGGCGAGGATTGCTAAAATAAGGACAGCATCCCTACGACTGAATAATATTTGGAACTAAAAACAACAGGTAACAAATATCAAATTCCGAATCTTTAATATGAACACCAAGAAAGTTCTACTATATGGAACTGAAAATTCGAGGACGACCAAAACCATCAATAGTCAAAAAGGTACAAGTATTTACAAACAATTGTCTACGCAAGATACTCAGTGTCCTCTGACCGGATACCATCCGTAACAACATACTGTTGGAGAGAACAAACCAGATTCCAGATGAAGAGGAAATTACGAAAAGACGCTGGAGGTGGGTAGGACATAAATTGTGGAAATTATCAAGGCGAGCCCCGACTCGGGATCTCCATGATGGAATGAAAAGAGGAAGACCAAGGAACACTGCGTCGGGAAACGAAGGCAAACACCAAAAGAACAAATAGCAATTCGAAACAAATGGAAAGGATTGTCCAGGACAGAGTTTGATGGGGAATCCTGGTGGGCGACCTTTGTTACTCCACGAGGAGTAACAGGTGTAATTAAGTACACCTGACTGGTAAGTCCTAAGTGTAACGGAACATATATTTTGCATTCAGTTGATACCCACCAATAAACAAAGGTTGGGAATGTATGTATATGTATATAGTCTAGAAAACCATTTTCTATAGATCACAAATAATCTTGTTGTAGATGAACATTTTGTTTGTATGTAATCGTTTGAATTTTTCTATTATTGATATTGACGACTGCAACTGATGAGTCCAATTATTTTTAATTAATAGCTTCTTTCCATTTGAGGTAATAGGTACTGGGGTTGAGTTTCAGTATGAACACCAACACTATGATACAAGTTTGAAGTAAGATGAATTGCAAGTCTCTGATTACACTGCTAGTCACAGTCAGAATATATTCAATATTTGGTGTATCTTTAAAATGATAATATTACACTAAGATCTATTTAAACCTGAGTTAATTTTATTTGGTTATATATTATCTGAAGAAGTGGCTTACACGAAACGTCAGACAATCTAATTTTTCTATTCTTTGCGATAATACAAATATATTATTTTTATTTACTGTAAACAATTATTTATTTTCAGCCTCATAACGATAAACGTCATATACGAGACCCTATTACAAATGAACCAAATTTCGACTGTGAGTTACACAATTCCTTAGTTTGGTTTTATATGAGAAGTTCATATCTCATTGATTCATAAAACGATTTAATTTAGTGATAGAATCTTTTACAAAAAATTAAATATGTATTAAAATAGTAGATCAAAATTCATATTATAAGAAATAAACAATATAATTACAAACTTAGAACCTATAATATTTATATGAGGTTATTCACCTTTGTCAAGATACTCCCTTCATTGAATGAATTTTTACTTATCATTAGATATTGAGTTATTGGAGTTAGTTTGGGTTTAACAGACGAACTCCTTTTTATGAAAGGATACTGATCGAAATTTAAAAAAATTTTGAGCTGTATTCTGGTGTGGGTTATTTATATCCATATAAGTAGTATATAACAGTGCTCAGGCACAGAATGTATTTCAGCAGAAGATCGATAAGGGAAGAACGGATACGGAACGCAATTGATATGAAAATGCGTGCACAGTGAAATCTGAGACAATGGACTGATATTTGCGAAAGGAACAGTGAAGTTTGAGACGATGGATTGATATTTTGCAAATTAACTACTTACTATATGGTTCTCAGATTTTAGTGAGATGCCCTGTAATTTCGTGTCAAATACATCCAATTGTTCCCACTCAGGTTCTTATTCACTACATTATTAGATGAGTAGAATCAATGAAATATTATTTTCTATTATTCTATTTTAAACACTGTCTTTGTATGTAGTTGTATTTACCTTAAAAAGTGAATATTTGTTTAGTGTTACGTAATATCAACATCAATTAATTTAGTACGCTGTATAAGTAAGTAATTATATTTTCACAGTCATTCATTAAATCCAGAACGTTATCATTTTATTGATTTTATATCTATTAATAAAGGAGAAAGTCAGAAATTGGCATAAGAAGGTTATAATGTTTATATTGTTACCAGTCGAATAGTTTTAAAATAACGTAGATCGTTATTAGATTAACTGAGTGTTTGAGCTGAGATCCTAATTTAAAGAAAAACTAATATGGAAGTTAATCTTAATGGGAATATACAAAAGTGTAATTCACAATAATATGGAACTTTTTAAAGACTTTTGAGTATAAAAGCAAAATTTTTTTTGTATTTAGATCCATGCAGCATTTAACAATTTCACTATCATTATTATTATCTTTGCAAAACAGAACACGGGCAAGCAGTTTCAGATCACTGTAATATATTTCAGATAATTACATATAATCAGTTTCTGATGAATCACTGACTTCACTTTTAATTTTAGTCATACTAAATTCATATCTAAACAATACTATTACAGTCAAACTACAACCGATCCACTGAATGTGAAGCAATATTAATTGTACATGGCGTTTGTAATCGATCATTAGACCAGTCAAAATAAAAAGAAACAGAGGTATAGCGTATTATCAATGGTTCATAAGGATTGAGGAAAGCACTAATTACACATAGTAAGGAGGGTAATAATAATAATAAAATACGTACAAACAGAAAATTGAGTTAATTAGCAAGTGGAGAGAACATCTCCAGGAAACAGAATATACAACAATTAGCCTGTTTGATGGTTACCATCACAGATTCAACGGTAAAAAGCCTAATATCGATTATTTCTTTTCCTACTTAACAATAATCTGCTTTTTCAAAACATGGAAGAGTTATTTCAGTGCCAAACCTGTGATGTATTTTTATTCAAGGTGAATCAGCAATTAACTGGGAAGGCATAATTACTTTTATTAAATTATGGTCTGAAGCAAAGGTGTTGGAAGAAAAAATCAGAATACTTTTAATTGAAGGAATACTGATAATGAATAAAATGTAAGTTTGTAAAAATCTGCACTCAAAATGATAATTGTTTTTCATTGTATTAAATGGTGTCCGGAGTCTTCATTTATGTAGAAGTTATTTTCATCCTATGAATGACTCAAAGAACAGAAAACATACCCTGACTAAAATCATTATTCTTACTGATCCTTTAGTAATAAACAGTATTATGGTTGTTGATTAAATTCTATCTACCAAATCGCAATACGACCGCTAGCTTAAGTAACTTGAAATAGTATACATAATGTAACGATGTTACTTGGTTAGAAATAATCCATTGGAAGCCTTGAAACTACTTTCTGTAATTGTTGTAGCTCGCTAGCAAAGGACAAGTGATACTTCCCACGAGACTCGAACTAGTATTAGCAAATCTCGCCGTCAGAGACGTTACTAATGAGCAGTTCTCACTATTCATGATTTAGAGGAAGGTAAAGTATAAACACATATATCGTAAGTTCACCGACTTTCGACACTGACACTTAGGTTCTCCATCCATTAATTACAACTGTCAAGTGACCCCTAAGCAAGAATATTGGAACCCTTGATACCATTCAGTCAACAGCCAATGAACTCACAAAATGATACCGTATCCTGATTACAGTTTCTCTAGCCTTCTTTTAATCCCATAGGCCACCTTAATATATATATATATATATATATATATATATATATATATATATATATATATATATATATATATATATATATATATATATATATATATATATATATATATTCATTCGTGCAGTGTCTAAAAAACTCCGATACATGAGAAATTGTATCACAATTTTTATCTTTTTGAATACAGAGAACTTCGGAATTTGATGGATTTGCGAATATTTCTGAAGGTAACTTATGAAAATATGTTGCAGAGACGAAAGTAGGTTCTATTGTTACAGTTAATGCATTTTTAGTGGATACATAAATGAGAGAACAAATTTATGCGGCTTTTATTTTAAATGCGAACAATAAATATTTCGTTAAGCTTTGATATTCAACATCAGATATTATGTTATTTGAACAGTAATGTTCTTGATGTCCAGTCAAATCAGGGATCTTAATTCGTAGTTCAGGAATAGTTATCTTTCGATACTTAAATGACCTCAGACAAGTTAACAAGGTTTATACGAAAACATCTAGACGACTGAATTCAAATAAAGAGAATTTGTGGTTATTATAACATAATCATCCGAATAAAGTATACCAGATTAACTTCTGAACTGATTATATATACATGAACACAGTGAAAAGTATGAATATCCACTAAACAAAAGTGTATATGAAATACGATTTTACGAAGGCATAAATAATATGATACTTATTTAAATTTTCTACATGAATATGAAACTGTTGAATAGTGAACTAATAAAATTCAACTAAGATGTGTAAAAATACTAACTACTAATATTTACAAGCAACACAAGTAGAACTTCACACAAAAACTATTAAATAGTTTTTAGTACACAAACAAGGATTTTATTAAGAACTGAAAACTCTAAAACAGTAATAGCGGAATACGATGAAAGTAGTTTATTTTATCCGTAGCTTGTCAAATATTTACACTCTAGACTAATGAGTTCAGACAGGCACTTCTTCCTTCATTTAAAACTTGAGAAGTTGTGTGGCTGATGTACAGAGTTTGAAAATCTTTATAGGATATTCAAAAATTAAGTGTTTAAGTAAACAATCGTAACGTAACATTGTAGAATGAGTTTTTCTACCCCTTTTTTCCAAAAAAACTTTTAAATTTACAAATGATGTATTACTGATATATTTAGATCTTAACTAATGCAAAAGTTTACAGTTTTAACGAATAACATTGTTTGATTTACCTATTCAAATATTCCTTAGTTTAATCATTGTAACACAATAATTATGGATTTGTAACTGTGGATTCTGATGACGGTCGTGTATAGATTTTTATATGTATGTAGGCATTAGAACAAATTTGTATAAAAATTACACTTGAATAGTCTCAGCGATTGAAATTTGATTAATTTCAACGTTTCGTCTCTTAAACTGGTCCAAGATTCTTTAGGGAAATAATCAAAATTATCAACGATTATTAGGGTTTATAAATCCATCGTGTTTAAATGCTGATCTTGTTTATAATAATATAATAAGTCATTAGATGTGAAATTTGTTCACAATATGAGCATTAATATGTACCCGGATCTTATTGCTAAATAAAAATACAGTGGATAAATGAAACATCTGACTACTGTTAGAGGTATACTAATCGTTTTTATTTATTAGAAAGCCAATATAATTAAATTTAGATAGTGGAATGTATAAGTATAATTAGAATATTGTCATATAGTCACTTGTGTTGTTAACCATTAAAAATAATTAGGGATAAATTCAAACCAAAGTAAATGATTGAATAATTAAACGTCTTTTTTCACAGGCTACGGGGGTATAGATAAGATGGATGAGAAGATCCAAATATCCATTTGTTGGAATTCGTTAAATTTTAATCACTGAGATCACTTAAGTATAATTTTTATACAAAATATCGATATATTCGGCGTCCTATTTGTGTAAAACTAGAGTGAGGATAAACCCCACTCTCATTCGCGATTTCGACCTTGCACCCGGCAACCGACCAAAATGAAACGGTAAACATTATTCACATCATCGAAATATACGATGGAGAGTATGCTTCGTCGCTTTTACCGGAGTATATGAAAAATGTAAAGTTTCCTAAGAGGGGAACACTACTCCATCATACTAGACATGTCAAGTGGGTAACAGTCATGATGAAAGGAAAACTACAACACAGCGAAAGAAATGTCTGCAATTAGTTCTATAACAGAAATTATTCCAAAGTACCTACGTCTGAGTGACTAGGTAAACAAAAACACGACCGCGATTCCTGACTAGGATATACTTAGATGGCTTGAAAACGCGGAGTTTATCCCCAGTCGTAAAACTATATGTTCGAATGTCGACAAATGTTCATATAAACTCACAACATACAATTAATAATGAACAATGCACACTAATTTTCCAAAGAATTCATTGAACTTATAGTTTTCAAACAGAAAACTAACTAGTATTTTCATAGTCTTAAAACTTAAAGGTTCTGGTATCAGTCATGTTAGAGGTCATTAATGTACCCAGATGATAACTTTCAAACGAGAACGGAATCGATGATCAACACATCCAAACTTCCAATCGTTGTCCGACTGATCACAGTCCTTGGTGAAAAACTACTTATGGAGGGAACTTGATACTTTCTTACCTGAAGTAGTTGGTTAATACTAAGATCTTGTAGTGGCCGGTACTATGTCAAGACCACATAGGCTATTCTAGCTTCTGGAAAGACCAACTTAGTCATTCTTTTAAAGCCACATTTGATCTTGTTGATTATTTGCTTGTTAATCCTAAATGGTTTCATGTGATCGTCTGTATGTTCATTGCTCACCCTCTTCACCACATGCTTGTAACTTATTTTTGTCTGAATATATAAATATCAAGTCGAGTTGGTTTACTCGCATTCTCTACTGCACATCATTTCGTTTGGCTTCTCCTTCACCACGTTTCTCAGATTGTCTGTCCGGATCAATGAGTGTGCGAAATATACGAATTCGAAATCCATTTGACACATTCTATTCCGTTATTATTTAACGTGAATTAAGTCGATAAATATGTACCGGAGTAGCTGGGATGTACATTTTGATAGCAATCATACGATCTTACTGAAGTCAAACATTGAGCCACAAAATTCTATCATTTTTTCTTCGAAAATCGAAAGTTGTACTCGTAAAACAAAGTGAAACTTTGTAAGAACTTTAAATTCATGTGACATCAAACCACCTAATTGTAATGGGAATTGGCAAAAAATAGATTGAATAGTTGAGCGTTTACCACGTAGAAAAAAAGAACCAAATTGTTGCCAATTTAAGCACTTATAAGAAACCATGAATTTGACACATACATACATATATACAGACTGTTCAGCATGATTAATCATATAGTTAAATAAATACATAACAACTTATATTAATAATCAAACAGGGTCTTTCTAAAGTACATCTCATATGAGTATGTCTCGTTTTTTTGTGATATTAAAGCAATGATACATAAGCGGAGTATTCAATTCAAGAGATCCCTGATCACGAGCCTAAGAAATACAGCCAGTGTGATATTAATCCACAGATTATGTAGAGCAATTCAGAGAGCATCCAATGCCAGGAAGCTACGACTAATGTTTTTCACACACCCTACGTTGACATCAAGACTAAGGGATGAACAACCCAGAACGGTCAACTCGTAATGTAATTATCAATCCGAATGCTCTAGTGGAGCAAGTCATGTTAGCCGAAGTTCTAGGAACTTTTACATGTTCGTGAACGCCTTCCAGGGTGGTTAGACAAAGGCGTAATCAAAATTACAAACAGCTCAAAACCGAACTATTCAGTTCAAACTAGTTATAGTGTCAACATAAATCGATCATTTCTGACAGTTTATCGACTTGGTAGTTTCCTAACAAAGTCAGTCAGAATCTAAGTCCTCCAATGTGTCTTAAGCATTGGCCATTTGGACTAAAAACTGGAAATATATTTAACCCCTTCTCCCAACTGAAGGTCAGTAAATTAACAATAAATCATATTATGTAATGACCTAACTTGACTATTTTTCATGCATTCTTCCCACTTCTAAATTTTTGTAACTTAAAACAATCCTTGTTCGCATATTATATCCATTATTTTTATCCTCATATCTTCGTACTATAATTGTTATTGTTTGTCGTTATCATTATTAGGGTTTGACTTGATAGCTTCGAATGAACTGAGCATTCGATAGATTTTCATGAGTAGGAAACGGGATTTTCGACATTTTGTGTTAGCCACTTTTTTATTTATTAATTGAAGTGGCGTTCACTGGAGACACGAAGCGTCATAAATTTTATTTTCTACTGATTGAGATATTATAGATAAATCATGATGATTGTTTTGGTATCACTGTTATTCACTCAAGAGAAAATAATCCGGTTGGAACTCAGTCCACACTTCTATTTTATAATGAACTTAACTAAACTGACACATAGTTTCTCATTTAGTATTTGAACTGATTTGTGATGACATGATTATTTCTCTCACTCTAATGCCATCCGTATTTATTTGGATTATTAGGCTGTTTTAATTATCTTACATAACTTGTCAACGTTTACATTGCGTATTAGTCATTTCAGCACTAACAATTTTATTTTATTTCATAAAGAATCTTTAATTCACATACTACGATTTTAAAGGACGTGCCCGTCTTAAAATTGGTCGTTTTTTCGATATAGCTGGGGGAATTGAATAGTCTATGAAAAAGAATATTGTTTCACACACCACTGTTTGAATATGATAGGAATCTGCGAAGTTAAAATATCATAATATTCTTGATATTAACAGCCAACAATTCAGGAATCCTTCTCAACAGTAAAATTGGCTCCTTCGATTATAACACAACTAGGGTTCTTAGTATTATTAAGATTTCGCCCAGACTTAATTATCATACGATACGTCTGAGAATCTCGATATTTAACAACCTAAGGAGAGCTATTGCGCCTAAATTGGGAAACATTATCAATATTTATTTACAATAAATTCATGAAAAATGTCCCATCTCGTAATGTTCTTGTTGACATGTACTTGACGACTTAAGCTTTGGTTGTGTAACATTATAGGGTTATTAAATAAATGAAATGATTATATTTCCCTTTAGGCTAAGAAAATATAATACACCTGACCCACCAAATTATTTTGCTAAATATGTTTGGCCAACATATCTAAGAACGCTAGACATTTTGGAGTATTCAAAAGACTCTATATGTAAGTTTAAATTCATATATGTGAATTAACTCGTGCGTCCTAATAAACTTTTTTGTTTATGTGGCTTTCAAGTGCGGAAACCTAAAAAGTATTTAGTATAAATAAAAACTTTGTGTACATCTAATCTACCTCAAGAAATATATTAGTTTTAAGCAACAAAGACACAATTCCATTATCAACTGTGAACCATAAGGATATCTATTTATTTCAGAACCATATCAGTCAATTTTATCCACAAACCATGATTTTTAATCAAGACAAAGTGGAAGCCATCATTCCAAAATTAATTATCAGTTGAAACTAAACAACCACTGGGTTCAATAAAACGATACAGTCTAATAGGGAGTTCTCCTGGATTTTTAAAAAGATATGTTAACTAAGAGGAATTTTTCTACACATTTTTATAGCTTTGAACTATAGGTATCTAAATTTTAAACAAAGTGAAGTCGAGCTAAGTGTTCTGAGAAAATTTAGCCAGATCTTACAGGTGAAATAAGATGAAGAACTTACATTTCGATATCGTTCATTTATAGCATGTCGCTAGAGAGATGGCATTTGTCTGCATTCTTTTTTTATAATCAATGTCTGGACATACCACGACAAAAAATGCAAACCATTGTAGTTTTTCAAATACACTCATTTCAAGAGAATCCCTCGCTCGACTAGTCGTTCCAAAACAAATATTCACCATAATTTTAGACATTTTTCGTCCTACGATATGAGTCATCTTCAATGTATAACACTATCTATATGAATCAACACCGTTGGTACTGGAATGTGGTGAATGAGGACATTTCGTTACAAACTTCATCTCCTTGATGACCTACGTCCTTATTTCAGAGTACCAGAGTCACAGTCAATACCCCATAGGTACACAAGTCTTCATACACCGAAAGATTGAATTATAGTTGTTTAAATGTTAGTGGAAACATAATTTTGGCCTATACGATTGAAGGGTTTAAACCAATTTTTAGTACACTCTACCACTTATGCTTAAACATCTAAAGTGATTTTCCACTAATCTTGTTTTTTTTCTTTTATTAGATTATTTTGATAGCAATAATGGAGTTGAGACCCTATTTAAAGAGATTTGTCAATGTATCAATGAAAAAATAGATCTAGCGAACGAAAAAGACAAACATTTCGATGAATTCCCAGAATAAATTTTTACACAAGTTTATGATAAATAATAGTTTAACTACAGTGATTTTTTCTGAAATATCGACAATAAATAACATTAGGGATAGATTGGAAATGATTAGACAATGAAAGAATTAACTCTAGTATGAAGTTTAAACATGAAAATAATGAGATAATTAATTTCACTATGATTAACATATAGTTGACATCTCTAGATTGCAAACCAGGTAACTCAAGTAAAAACATAACTATGAAGAGCTATCTTCGTAGAGTCGAAAATTCATATTAGTCTCTGGTTGAATCATCAGAAGTAGTGAGTTAAAATAAATGTAGTTCCAGAAATTCAGTCAGTCGATTCGTGCTAACATTCTATCAACAGCTAATGAGATATAATACAACAGTAATGAAATAGTGAGCAAACTTTTTCACATACATCAAAAGTTCGATAATGTATATGCTTTAATCTAACAATTAGATCACACTACCCCTTATTATTGTATTGTTGATATCTCAGTAGTGGATAATTTTGACATAGAGTGAAGAGTTTTAAGCTGATTGAATACAAGCTATATTGTCGTGGTTAACTGTCACAGATCTACTGATAAAGATGACTATACCTTATCTGGCACTGTTTCTTCACATCGTGATTTTCTGACATAGTCCTTTTAAAAGACCGTGAAGAGATGATTGGTTTTCTAAACGCCCAAATAAAAAATGTGAGAATGTTTACAATTTTTTGACACAAAGTTAGTCATTCATAAAGTGGTTTATACTTTTTCTCCGGAGTCGAGTATGACGACTTGCACTTCTATGGGTCTCTCAGATAACTGACTTGTTTAACTCGATGACGAGATCGGCTAGTGGTTATAGCATTCAAATTTTAGTACCTTGGTTAAACGTCTGAACTCTTATCTACCTACTCCAGTGTCCACTGTCTACTTCTACGGTACTCTCAGGTCACCGACTTAATTTGTTAAGGTACTGAAGCAGATTAAAAACACTTGCAAAGGTGTCTGACCAGGTGCCAGCTTTGATAAGTTTATTTGAGTTCTTAGCTGTTGAAAAATGCGCCGCTTATAATCAATTATCTAGACTAACAACAAATTGTTACAGCGTGACAAAAATCAATTCACAGAAAATGAGTTTTCAAATGCAGGATGACAGGAACTGAATTCTGCAAGCTTTATCTACTTTTCGATAAATTTCGAAACAATATCAGTATATATTTTCTTTGCATCAGCGTGTGTAGGAATGTAATGACCACCGTCATGTACAAATACCTTTGGTTCAGATAAGAATACATCCAGTGCTTCCTCAGACATTTCTGTAAACATACAAAGAAAGTTTAACATAAGAAACCCCCTTATTAATTTAGATATTCAATCAATTTGACTATCTAAACTGACGAAGTTAGATATTTAAGAATTCACAAATTAAGAGTACTTACTTCAAAACTAGATGTAGATAAATGTAACATAAAAAACAAGAAGTATGGTACAGTACCCTCTTTAAAACTTAAATATTGCATTAAGGGATACCTAAAATGTTTTCTCTACCATGATTATTCCTCGCTTCATTACTCCTTCCTGTTTACACACAGGTTTATTAATAAGCGCCAGGAGAATAGAAGTAGTCGTTTATTTTATGTTAAAAGTCATTTGGAAGATTGACTTGTTTTCACCTTAAACTTATCTCGATAATTAAGACTTTGGGTTAGGCAATATGTATTGGGAATGTGAATACTCATTTACCTTGAATAATATTGGCTTTAAGATAGTTACGACGAGTGTATATTTTGACCAGAGTATCCAGAGTACTCCAATTTTTGGATAAATTATAAAACATATTTAAAAGGAGTTCGGTAGTTTTCACTTGGGTCATGTTACTGAAGCTTTAAGAGAACGGATTGTGAAAATAATCAGTGCCCAATTAGCGTTTATTATTAACGGAAACTTCTTCAATCATCTCTTCCAGACGTAGTTTTATCTCAGTAAAGACACTTATGGAAAGGATCAGGTTTGAACGCATTATGGTGGGACATTGACTGGAAGATAAGAACAAGAATGGAGACACTGGTAGGCCCATATGATTTCAAAAATATGGTGTTAAGCGGTAGAGTTTTCCATCACAAATCCATGCAGGTTACATGAATTTCACTGAACCACATTACGGAAAATTAGAATGATCATAGAGGCATAAACAAGCAATTCAAAAAGTCTATTGAATGCGTTAGAACAGAGAGGAGCTGATGTAGCATCAGACCATCACATGGTGGTGACCAAATTAAAAATGAAGCTGAACAAACATTGGACGATCGGTCAGGCAGGAATAAAAATGTTTAATATGACTTTTCTTCGAGACGCTAACAAGCTCAGTGAATTTGGGATAAATCTCAGCAACAAGTTACAAGTCTTACGGGATCTACTAGAAGAACCTACTACGGAGAGCAACTAGAAAAGGATTAGAAAAGCAATAAGTTTAAAATGCCAAATGCTGGGCCGTAAGAAGCACTAGAATAAGGAAGACGCCAGTAGTCAACAACGGCCGAACAAAAGCAGAGAAAGCCAAGATACAGGCCAAAAACACAGGAGCAAACGGGTCAGAAAGAGCACTAGAACTGACAGGCGGAAATGTATAGAATAGAGAAATAAAATCAACAAGCTTGGAGGGATCAGAATTATCAGTCAGGAACAAAGAAGGAAAACCAACCACAAAGATTCAGTAGCAGCGAAACAGATTAGTGGGAAAATTCGAAGAGCTCTTAAGTTAACTAGCCCAAATGAACCCACCATACATGCAAGTATCACACACACACAACTCACTTAGATGATACTCCACTAACAATGCAAAGCGGCAACGGCATCAACAAATCAAGGATGGAAAAGCAACAGGACCAGAAAGCATGCCAGCTGAAGTAGTGAGGTCAGATAGAGGTATTTGCAAAGATCCAGAAATACAATTCAGCGAGCAGCAAACAAAACACACTTAGTGGAGAAGCTCTGGAAGAAGTGGGGGTCTACGTGCCTGAGTAGCATAATCTATAAACATGGAAGATATGACGTAGATATCAAGGTATGAATAGGAAAGCAAGGGGAACATTCCTACAACTGAGGCATATTTGAAACTCAAAACAACTGTTACTGAAGATCAAAGCAAGAATTTACAACATTAACGTTAAAACACCTGCATTGTGTGGTAGTGAAACTTGAAAAACTACCACCACTACCACAAACCAGATGCCAGGTGAAAATGGAATAGAGAAAATATGATGAGGGTGGATAGAAAATACACTTTAGAAACCATTAGGCTCAAGCACAAGGCAATCCCTAACTTAAGTTCCTAAAGAGAAAAGAAAGAGAAAGCAGAAAACACATGACTCCAGGAGTTGGAGGGAGACATTGAGACCACGAATAACACTTGACAACAACTAGAAAGAGGTCGGAATGGGGTGCTTGGAAATTGCCGATCGATGACCTTTAGCTAAAATGGGGTACTAGGCCTAAGTACAAGAAATTTGCTGGACACGCTCGGCTAACTTCTTCAAGAATTTTGTTAACTTAGTATTTTACCAAGAAATCAAAAGCTTATGAATTACTTAGTGTGATTTGATAATGAAACGTAGTTTGATATATCAAGCATCCAGTCACGTCAATCAGCTAGACTGCAAGACCAGGCACATATATGCATCGGTCCAAGTTGCTATACCTCACTCACTAACACGAAAAGATGAACACCAAATTCATAAAATTAGTTACTTCAATGATAGTAATATATAAAAGAAAGATTGTGTACGAGGATATAATACAGGAAGAAAGAATTAGTTCGTAGAAAGATATAAAGCGATTGTAGTATCACGGTTTACGGGAACACAAAGAGCACATACACATACGCCATTGTGATCGATTCTGGGCCATGTCACCCAGTCTCCAACCACAGGTTACGATAGTCGCGTGGACCCCGTCCAAACAGTATGTATCTACAAACATGGTTGAGACCAGTAGTGACTTCAAACATTGATGCCACGTTTAAATTTGGCCGCTCCTAACCTTTTTCCAACTGTCCCCAACACTAATCAGCATTGCGCGTCGTGGTAATCGGTGTTTAAGCATACATAGCACATGACCCAACAATCTCAGTCGATGAAGATTCACAACCTCATCAACTGATTTACCCAGATTTCCTAGTACCCTGTGTCTAACCTCACTATTATTTACCCGATGATCCCAGTTAATGCTGGCAATATTCCTAAGACATCTGTGATCAAATACTAGTAACTTACGAGTGTCTTCTACCCTTCCTTAATGGCCACATTTCGTAATCGTTAAGTAAAACAGAACGAACTGCCATGCAGTATACTCGTCCTTTTATTGATAGACGGATATTTTACCTTCGCCATGGGTGACGTAAGTTGGCAAAAGCTAAACGAGCTTTCTGAATCCGTGGTGAGATTTTGTTAGGCACCAACACATTAAGTCCGATCAGACTTCCAAGATAAGTGAAGTTACCGACGCGGTCAATCCCTGTGTCAAATTTGACCACCTTATTGATTCATATCCTGGGTTTTGACTAGCCAATATTAAACGACAATACAGTTACACCAGAATAGTTATCAGAATATTCCCGCGCTAATTACTTTCATGTATAGGACTGATTATCGATTAAGGATGGTAAGAAATAAAAGGTACGGTGGGTGGTCTGCAGTAAGAATAAGTTTTCACAGTAAAGAATGGTGTACTGACCTCGGGGGATAACAGAATCTGTTTCGCCATAGACGACTAAGCTCGGTATCGATGTTTTGTGAACATAAATAGCTTGGTGAAGCAAACAACGACTGATAAAAGGTGCAACCAATATTGTGAATTTGATCGGTCCCACATCGTAATCTGTGAAATCTTTGGAAGTAATAAACAAAAAACATTTTGTGAGACAATGAGCATAATCCATTTTACCTAATAACGAGTTATAGTTACATTTAGTGAATTAGTTTATAATCCTTGAACTATTAGTACATTAAAATTGATGAAACCATTGCTCGTGGTCGGTTACACATAACGCACTTCTAAATCCACTATTGGTCAGAATTTTTAGTACTAAACGACAGGACAGTGTCGTTGACGTATGCAGGATTTTATAATCACCAAAGAGGCAGAAATAAGGAGTACAAGTGAATAAAAATTAATAATTATCAAAACCTATTTTATGGAGCCTTAGCTTGCAAAACTAATAAAAGGAAACTAAGGGTTTGGAGGTTGCTCTTTCGGACTGATATTTCTTCTCTCATTAGCATATCCTCAACAAGTATCCGTATACAAGATAAAAATACTCTCTCTCACGTAAAATAAGACGAACGGTGAATAGACGAGCTAAGATTAATCATTTACCTGCTAGATGAAATGCGGAAGTAGTGAAACTTTCAGTAAGAAGACAATAATATCATTAAATAGTTGGTAAAAAGTGTATGAAAGACGGATGAAAATGTAGTCATGAATTACGAACGATCAGAAATGACTAGACTACCAAGTCTTTGAAACCAGTTTGTGATCAGGAAGACACGGAGGGAACTATAAACGTAGTAAAAATATACCTACAAGGTTTAAGTATAATAGTTGCAAGCATGAAACTAGTCAAAGTATCCCAGGATGGTGCTTGTGGTGCCGTGATCTGACTCCCCTTACATCTCATGATTGTTATCGACATATACATACAGGCTACCCTCGTACATAATTATCGACTTAATTCACGTTAGATAATAACGGAATAGAATGTGTCAAATGGATTTCGAATTCGTATATTTCGCACACTCATTGATCCGGACAGACAATCTGAGAAACGTAGTGAAGGAGAAGCCAAACGAAATGATGTGCAGTAGAGAATGCGAGTAAACCAACTCGACTTGATATTTATATTCAGACAAAAATAAGTTACAAGCATGTGGTGAAGAGGGTGAGCAATGAACATACAGACGATCACATAAAACCATTTAGGATTAACAAGCAAATAATCAACAAGATCAAATATGGCTTTAAAAGAATGACTAGGTTGGTCTTTCCAGAAGCTAGAATAGCCTATGTGGTCTTGACATAGTACTAGCCACCACACAGTATGTCATATGACGAGTATGATGCAAAGCATGAATAAGGTGTTTATACAAACTTTGAGGTGAAAGTGAACAATTATTTTCACGAACCGTACCACTTAATTTATGCTCCATCATAATTTGTAGCAGAAGTAGGAATGCTGCACCTTGGCTGAAACCAAGCATCCCATCAAATGGACCCTGGGAAAATGTAGTACGTAAACACTCCAAACCTCTTCTTTAATATATTTTTTGACAGCCAATATGGATTCGCGAAAGCCAGCATCATACGTACTACTTTCTTGAGCTAAAAATTCCAAAGGTTTAGAAAACCACCAGGCACAAGCTTTTGGAAGCAGATCTGGGATATATGAAAATTAAGACTAACCGTTCGAGGAGCATTCGATAACATTTGGGGCAGATATAAATTCTACATAAAAACAAAATAATGACAAATCTAACTAACTAAATTCACAGAACTTTTTTAGTGATTTTCTTAATCCGCCTGTTTTTTCGCGAAAAACATCCGAGTTTTGCCTACACAGCGAAATAGATTACATTTCATCACAGAGGATACCTGTATCCATGTAGGCACAACACCTAAAACTTAGTTTTACGCAAGCACGAAATACTTACTTTCAAATGTGGCATAACATATCAAATTAGAGGGTCAGTCAGTCAGATGGAAGCCACCCACCGTTTTGTTTTGTAGCGGTAAATAAATCCCCAAAATAAATAGCACTAAGTTTTCGACATTGGATGCTGACCATATGTTTTAGTGGACTCATCTAGCTGAAGGCGCTCGGTCAGGCATCCGCACCAGATCACGTGTGGTAACGCCGTGCTCAACATCAACCGCAATCGCTAGCCAGATTAGATCAGAGAATTCAGATATATTGGTCATCGCCAAATATACTCTTCCAATCTCCTCGACTCTGTCTTTTGATTTCTCTGGGCGGGAACGAAATATATTAGAAGGTGTTACTGGTAGAAGCGTTGTCAAACACTGAATACCTGTGACATCATCATTGGTGAGCCCGACGTGATCTGGTACACCTAATTGCAACTGTGAGTCTGTTCCTTTTTGGGATTTTTATATATCATTGCCTTATTTTTTTATTTTTTTAAAACATTGTGAATTTTTTTTCGTGTTTTTTCCTGGATATATATATTTTCCCCTCGTTCATTATCGTACTTCATACTTCATCATGACTGAACAGACACCTAAAGTACTCAAGCTTAAGACTTTGTCCCCGCCTTCGTTTCAACTGATGCCTTTCTGGCCCGACAACATCGAAGCCTGGTTTTGCTACGCCGAAGCCGACTTCTCCGAGCACGGCGTGATCGACACACGTGCACAATTCCTCGCAGTAGTCAAGGCACTACCGCGCGAATTCAACAGGTACGTAACACCTAGTATGTTTACTAGTGATGTTTCCGATCCTTACGAAATCTTAAAACGCTCGATTCTTAAACGAGGAGACCTAACCGATCGACAAAGGTTAGATCAACTCTTCAACAATATCGACCTGCAACATGGTTCTGCAACGGACATGTTGCAACGGATGAGAGAGATAATAGGCCCAAGAACTTTCGACGAAGGCCTATTCAAACAACTCTTCTTGTCAAAACTTCCCCAACAGGTGCAAGCAGTTCTGGTCTCGTTCCAGAACAATGCCTTAGACGAGCTAGCTGCATCTGCCGACCGCATTTTAGAAATTACGAAATCTACTACCGAGGTATTTTCAGTCAAAGAAAAACCTCAAACGACTCAGAATGATATAAACGACTTATGTCACACACTCACGCGTTATCTTAGTCTTCGTAACGACCGTAAGAGATCGCGCACACCACGTAGAAGCATTTCTCGTAAGCGATCTGTCTCTAGACCACGAGAGACAGATAACCCCGACTGGTGCTGGTATCATAACCAGCATGGAAAGCTTTCCAGAAATTGCAGAAAACCCTGCAATTTTCCCAACACGAAACCGACTGATTCGAAAAGCAATTCGGGAAACTTCCAAGCCGGCACGCGTTAACGGCAACCGTAGCCGGCGAACATAGCCGTCTGTTATACGTCACAGATGTGACAACGAGAGTTCGCTACCTCGTCGACACTGGCGCAGAAGTTAGCGTTCTCCCAGCAAATCCTAACGACCGACTACACGAATCGACCCTAAACTTACAGGGGGCAAACGGAAAACCGATCGCTACGTATGGCAAAAGGTACGTTTACCTTAACGTGGGTTTACGCAAACCCATCCACTGGATTTTCGTTGTTGCAGATGTTTCTATGCCAATCATTGGTATGGATCTTCTACAACACCACAATCTGATCATCGACACGCGCAAACGGAGGCTAGTAGACGGTAACACTAATTTGTCCGTTTGCGTAACTTCTTTTACTGGTTGTAGAGTATCCCCAGTCACAGTTAAACATATGATAGACCCACTCTATCAACCACTACTCGATAAGTACCCTGACATACAACAAACTCAAACGAAACTACCGTGTGTAACCAGCAAAGTTACACATCACATCACGACTACAGGACCACCTGTATTTTCTAAAGCACGCCGACTAGCTCCTGAAAAGCTAAGGTTAGCGAAAAACGAATTCGATCACATGATGGAATTAGGAATCATACGACCGTCAAGTAGTCCATATGCATCTCCGTTGCACATGGTCCCTAAAAAGGACAGCAACGATTGGCGTCCAACTGGTGACTATCGGCGATTGAACGCGAAAACCATTCCCGATCGTTACCCGTTGCCTCACATTCACGATTTGACAGCTACCTTGAAAGGTACAACTGTCTTTTCGAAAATCGACTTGGTTAAAGCGTATAACCAAATCCCTATGGCTACTGACGACATACCGAAAACGGCTATCATAACTCCCTTCGGACTCTATGAATTTTTGCGAATGCCTTTCGGTCTAAGGAATGCTGCTCAAACATTCCAAAGATTCATAGACGACGTTTTTCGAGGTCTCAACTTCGTGCACGCGTATGTTGATGACTGTCTAATCGCAAGTCCGGACAGAGAAACACATCTCAAGCATCTGGATCTTGTTTTCGAACGACTTCAAAAACATGGCATAACGGTAAACGTTCAGAAATGCCAATTCGGAACCAACTCGTTAGACTCCCTAGGACACACTATCGATGCTCAAGGCATTCGACCTCTTAGGACCAAAGTGACGGCCATTCTGGATTACCCAGAACCGACCACCGTCAAGCAATTGCGCACGTTTAACGGCCTGGTAAGTTTCTATAGACGTTTCATACCGAAATGCGCATTACTTATGAAACCTCTGACCGACCAACTTCGTGGAAATGCGAAATCCATTAATTTGGACGACAACGCACGAAAAGCATTCTCCACAGTCAAGGAACTGATTGCTAAAGCAACAATGCTCGCACATCAGGACACCCGAGCACCCATTAGCATCGCAGTAGACGCATCCGACTCAGCAATCGGAGGAGTCTTACAACAATGGGTTAACAACTCCTGGCAACCCTTGGCATTTTTCTCTAGAAGGTTGCTAGACACCGAATCGAGGTACAGCACATTCGGTAGGGAACTCCTAGCTATGTATTGTGCTGTACGGCATTTCCAACACTACATCGAAGGTCGTGAATTCACTCTTTTCACGGATCATAAACCGCTTACCTTCTCGTTAAGCTCTCCTTCTGACAAGTACTCTCCCCGTGAGTCTCGACAACTGGACTACATTTCGCAGTTTACTTCAGATATTCAACACGTCTCTGGAGCAAACAATGTAGTTGCAGACGCTTTATCTCGTATAACTTCCTTGAACAGTTTCCAAGGAATCGACCTTCTTAAACTCGCCGAGCTTCAAAAAGAAGACAGTGATCTTCAGCACGAGTTATCGTCCACAACACTTAAACTACGCATCAAACAGATGGGAACAGGTAAGGAAACCTTACTATGTGACACATCTACAGGTAGGGATCGCCCAATCGTGCCGAAACATTATCGACGCAATGTCTTCAACACATTGCACAAACTTTCGCATCCAGGTGTTCGTGCAACCATCAAGCTCATAGCAGAAAGGTTTTGCTGGCCTGGAATGAATAAAGACGTGAGGGAGTGGGCACGCTACTGTGTAAGCTGCCAAAAATCTAAGGTTATAAGACACAATAAATGTCCCTTAGGCTCGTTTAAAACTCCCGATGCTCGTTTCGACCATGTTCATTTGGATTTGGTAGGACCTTTACCAGATTCAAATGGATACTCTTATCTCTTAACCTGCGTTGACCGTTTCACTCGATGGCCAGAAGCAGTACCTATCAATGACATCACTGCTGAAACAGTGGCTCGCACCTTCGTCGAACGATGGGTAGCAAACTTCGGCTGCCCTTCAACCATTACTACAGACCGCGGACGTCAGTTTGAATCCGATCTTTTCCGTCGTCTGACCACGCTTTTAGGAATCACTCGCTTCCGAACGACCGCCTACCATCCACAAGCAAACGGGTTGGTAGAACGTTTTCACCGACAACTGAAAGCCTCGCTATCAGCTGCAAACGTTTCACAGTGGACCGACGCTCTTCCACTCGTCTTACTAGGTATCCGCAATGCAGTGAAAGCTGACATTGGATACACTGCGTCCCAACTCGTTTATGGTACGACACTTCGACTTCCAGGAGAATTCGTGGATCCTTCATCCTCTTCAATGAACATGGATCTAACCTCCTACACGAACAGGCTTACAAACGCAATGCGTTCAGTTAAACCTGCTTCCACTCGACCTCAATCAACTGATGTTTTCGTTCAACCTGACTTACGACATAGTACACACGTTTTCGTTCGTCGAGACTCGCATCGACGACCATTCGAATCAGCATACGAAGGACCCTTCAAAGTTCTTCAACGTGAATCTAAGTACTATATAGTCGATAAGAACGGAACCAAGGATAGCATCAGCATCGATCGCTTGAAAGCAGCGTATTTAGAAGGAAATCCTATCCACGTCGATTTTCCTTCGGTACAATTGAACGACACGACTCCGACACTTATAATACCTCACCCGACAACCAACACACACGATGATACTTCGACAGTATCCGAAAATAAACTTAAAACGACGCGTTCTGGAAGAAGAGTGAGATTTCCAGAACATTTAAACGACTATTGCACGTAAGGCACTTCTAGAAATTTTATATTATTTTTTTTTAAAAAAAAAACAAAACAATTTTAATATGCTTATATATTTTTATTTCTATTTAAAAAAACAAAAAACAAAAAAAAACAATTTTTTTAACGCTATTACGTGTTCATGAGTTTATTTTCCATTTTTTTTTCCGCCGACATTGTGCTTTTACGCACATACGAGTGTATCTTCGACATGCACTTACATTTTCTTTTTTCTTTTCCAGGACGGCTGGAAAAGAACGATGACGTTTACGAGGATCCGAAATTTTCATTGTACATTTTCTTTTTTTACTATGTTGTACCTCCGTCCCATATAGTAAGGAAAGACGACCAGACGCTGCTAAATTTAGTAAGCTATCAGAAGAGTGTTTACCAACGACAAACTCGTTGGGTTTAAACTTCTGGCTGGCCACGTCTTAGGGTCGTCACTGCCTCACTAGGGGGGGAGTGATCTGTAGCGGTAAATAAATCCCCAAAATAAATAGCACTAAGTTTTCGACATTGGATGCTGACCATA